GTAGAGAGACAAAGTGAAGAGGACCAAGTGCTGGTCCTTACAGCTTGGGGAAGAAACTCTGAGTCTCCCGTGACTAATTGTGCAAGGCTGGCATTTGCGGAATAGGGTGGCTGCAGGGTACGATTTGTGTGTAGATGAAGCCTCCAAGTTCCGCCTGGCGTTAGATAGGAGACTGGACATCAGGGAGAGATTGCTGAGCTGTGATTTGAGTTCAGGAGCTGACTGGGAAGTGGGCGCCAATGACAGAGTGAGAAGTAGAGGAAGGTATGGCTGCCATGCCCAGGTGGAGAGGTTTTCACTCCTCAGTCCATCAGTGGGGACGTGGGGAGGCAAAGGTTTCTAACAATGTGTTCTTCAGAAAATGGCTCCCAAATCCCAACTGTGGACTGCACTTTTTTTTTTTCTAGATCACAGGATGCTGTATGAATGGGCATGGCGTTGTAACTCAGGATCCTAACGTTTGAAATCTTGTGGAGACATTGACATGTGCATCAGGCTGGAGGGAACGGTGTGAGCCCCGTGCACTCATAGTGTAGGGCTGACCGTGGCCATCTTGTTTGCTCTCTAGACGTTACCCAGCTTCACAGACAATGCTCAGCTTTGCATTTGAGCCTGTCCAAGCAGTACCAACATCATTCCATTATCTAACCCAGCCAGACTGGTGACGGCCACGTTGTTCCCACACTGCGTCTGGGTGTTTGTTCAAATCAACATGTCAGTGAGGTGGACACAGATCTTGATTGTCCTCCTGGATTTTAACCTAAGAGTGACTGAGTGCAAACACATGGAAGCTAGTGCCATTGAAGGGTGACTCACAGTTCCCAAGATAAAGAGACAGTGTGCTGTTCTCTGCAGCACCATGTTTTTGTCTTTGGGGGGAAAGAAAAGGAGTTATATTGATATTTCTAATTCATTTCATCCTCCTTTCTTCATTTATATATTTGTGAATATTCTAATGGATTTGAACATATCTCCAAGGTTCATATGTTGGGGACTCAATGTCTTATTTATCAAAAGAGGAAGCTGGGGCCTTTATGTGATTAGACCACAGGGGCTTAGTGCTGTTTTGTGCTGGTCCTTACAGGAGCAGGTTATTCCAAAGCAAATTTGGTTCCCTCTTTCCCTCTGTCTCATGTGCTCTCTTGTCCTGCTTTCCACCCTGGGAGCATGCAGACCCTTGTGGAACATGGCTCTCTCAGCTGGTTGAAGACCTGTAAGAAATAAATTTCAGTTCTTTATAAACTACTCATACTACAGTATGCCATCGTAACAGCACGAATTGAACGAAGAAAAGCAGTAATTCTGTTTGTTTCTTTCTTCTCTGTGTAGTAGGTTCAGAACATCATTGTCAATTGTCAAGAACAAGACCACTGAGTTCCCCCTAGCGCTTCCTAGTGCTTACTTTGGTTTTTGACTGAGGTTACCAGCGAGATGGTGAAGTAGTGTTTTCACGTGCTTTGAAATGATTCATCCCTGGGTGACCATCCTTCTCAAACCTGTGGTAACAGGTTTGGATTTTTAGACATCAATCATTCATTTTTTTTTGTATATATACTTGCAAAGTCCAGTTCCACAGTGAAAACCCTTCAGATGCGTTGCAAGAGGCTCCTGCCCCCTCCTCTGACAGAAGTGGTTAGGTGTCTGTTCTTGGTTTGCTCTCGCTCCTCCTGAGCAGGCACGTGCACTTGTCCCCTACAACCCATGACTCTTAACTGCTGAGTCATCTTTCCAGCCCTCATTTTGGACTTGAAATGCAACAGTTTGGGTTAAAAAAAAAACTAGATTAAACCTGTCTTGCCTTCCCCATACCAGGAGTTGGTGGCACTGGGCTTGCCTGTCTCTCAGAGTTGGACCACTTTGGTAGGTTGTTTTTAAGATGGGCTCTAATGGAGGTTGGGCCCCTTAGGGCTCTGAACTCAGCAGCAGCATCTGCTTCCCAACTTCTGGCTTCTTCCTGGACCTGCAAATTGGTTGGTCTTAATTTGGCAGTTTCTACATGGAACCAGAGCTTTGCTGTGACCTCAAGACTTCCCCTATGCTTTCATGGGGCCTTGTGGTATCAGAGCCACTGTCAAGGCTGTGGGCGGGGGGCTGACATCCTAGATTCTGTCTTAAGCTATCCACCCAGGCAAGCCCATAGTTGGTTATGACTATCTGGAGCCCTCCAGGCCTTGGAAAACCATGCATGAGGCTTCTTATTCCTTCTGGCAGGCTTGTGCCTTCCCAGTTTGGGAAGGAGGCGATATCACGTGTCCCTGGTTCTTAGTCCCAGAAACTGAATGTGTCTTCAAGTCTCTCCTGTTCTCTCCTCCTACCACCTCGCTTTGCTCCTCCTTTTTCCCAATCAGATTGCAGAGCCTGAGAGGTATCATAGATGCTCCCCGCTTGGGGATTCTTGCAATGATTCCATACAGTGCTCAGTACTCAGGGACTCGGTCCCTGAAGCAGTCTCACTGTATGTATCTTGGTGGCACCATGAGGTGACGGTCACATTCAGCATCCCTGTGTTGTCCCTTTGTTCTGCACAGTGTGGGATATTTGGTCTTCCTCATATAACACTTGCATTGACTGGGAGCAGATTCTGTACTAGCCTGTCCTCTTGGAGATGTTCCATTTCTTTTGAAGCCTCACGGGTGGAGGGAGGCCCAGAAACGGAAGGAGCAGGTGTGGAACCATTTGCATGACGGATGGCACTCTCTTCTCAGATTGTCATTGGTGGCTAGGGAGACCTCTTGAAGGCTTTGCAGCTCAGGGCCTGGCAGCTTTGAGCAGCACTGGGAGTTAGCTGTCCCTTTAGCTCTGGTACCATCTTTCCATGGAGAGGCCTCGGGACCCCTCACTATCCGGGTGCAATGCTGGTCGCCTGCTTGGCCTGACGTTTGTTGATTTACAGTAGTTGAGGAAGTTGCAGGGAACAGTTGGTTAGTAAATTCAAGCATAAAATTGGGTCTAAATGGTGGAGTGTTTTCAGAGTGGACACTAGGGAGCTGTGGAACACAGTGAAAGTGTCTTATGGCCTGTGAAGTCCGTCCTCATTTGAGTGGCCTGCAGGAGGCGAGGCCATTGTCTTCCTGGATGTCCTAGCATGATGACGACATGGACCAAATCTTCTGTCTGCTCTGAAAATTGGTATCAGAGAGCCCCAGATGTGGTCACCAGAGGCAAGATTCTCACTTGAGTTTAGCTCGCATTGCAGATGGTTTATTTTGCAACTATTATCTTAAAAGACATTTGTTCCGAATTTCTCAGTGTGAGTGCTTCTGGGCAAATGTCAACAGCTGTAACCAACATGTGCAAAGGTTTTTTGAGATGGCTTTGATTATTTATAGATGTTAAGGGGACCTGAAATGGATCTGTTTGAGAACTGAAGTGTTTTCAAAAGTTTAAAAAAATTTTTTTTGAAAATGTTATTTATATGATGGATATTGATCATGTCCACCCACCACTACCTCCCTCCAACTCCCTCTAGATCCCCAGTCCATTTCCATCCCAATTTCATGTCCTCTTTCTCATTGCTATTAATATCTCCAAATCTAATTAGTGCTGCCCATATGTGCCTGAGTGTGAGGCCATCAACAACAGTATGGCCAACCTATCAGCAGTCATGTCCCAAAGGAGAGGGAGTCTCCCTCAATACCCATTAACTGCCTCTGTCTCTTCCACTAGGGGTTCATCCTCTGGGGCCCTGGCCCATCACGCTGGGATTTCGACAGAAAACCGTAGCTGCTGTTAGTTGATCTGGATGGGACATGACTCTTGTATACATGGTTTCTCTGTAGCTTTGGAGCCTGTACTGGAACTAGCTCTTGTAGACCAGGCTGGCCTCAAACTCACAGAGATCCACCTGCCTCTGCCTCCTGAGTGCTGGGATTAAAGGCGTGCGCCACCACTGCCCGGCTTAATTGAATTAGTTTTTGAACTTTTGTTTTACATGTGTATGGGAAGGGTGCCATGGTGTGTGTGTGTGTGTGTGTGTGTGTGTGTGTGTGTGTGTGTGCATGCACGTGCGAGTGTGTGTGGTTTGAGGCCACTTGCAGGATTCAGTTCTCTCCTTATACCCTGAGTCTCAGTGTCTAAACTCAAGTGGTCAGGTTTGGTGGCAAGTGTCTTTACCCACTGAGTCATTTCCTTCCCTGGCTCTAGAATTGCAGAGTCTAATGATTTCCTTGAGATAAAAAAGACAGTCACAATGATATATGGATCTGTCAGCATGTGTCAAGTTTCAGAATAATGTGTGATTGACTGATTTGATCCTTACTGAAATCCACCCATGCTTCCTGGGTGGCGGTGTCTCTTATCTTCCTAAGGGGCTGTCCAGGCCACCTGTATGGATGTTCAAGGGATGCTGTGAATGATTTCCCTCAGAGGGGCCATCACAGTGTGAGCAGCCTTAACCTGAATATCCAAACTGTGAAATGCTTCCAAAGCTAAGACTTGGAGCATCATGTGACACTCAAAAACTAGGGATGTGATGCTTTCAGATGGGGTATGCTTGGATGGCAAGGGCTGTGCCAGTCTTTCTAAAGCCGACAGTAGAGAATAGGATCTGAAATGCTTCTGTGCCTCTGGCTTTTAGCGTTTCAGATGCGGGAGATTCAGCATGCTTTCTTCACGTCTTAATATGAAGGAGAAAATGTGCTCCAGGTTGGGAGGTTCAGAGCTGCAGGGACATCTCTATGAGTATGGCTTGGACTTCCTTCTGGATTGTGTGGCTTCCAGGAGGGCTGCACCATGGGTGGGGTGGAGGTTGCTGTGTAAGTTAAGTGGATGGGGGTATGTATCTAACAGGTGGCTAGACGGAGAAGGTGGGAGAGATAAATGATCCCAGTAGAAAGAGGTGGGGTACTGGGAGTTGTGAGGGGAGCACCCTTGTGAACCTGACCCTGGCCACTGAAGGCCACACACACACACACACACACACACACACACACACACACACACACACGCACTCTCACCGGCAGCAACTCTGTCACTGATCTTATGCTGTGCTTTGCCCCAAGGAAAACCACTGTCGCCGCATCAAGATCCTAGGGGACTGCTACTACTGTGTGTCGGGACTCACCCAGCCCAAGACTGACCACGCCCATTGCTGTGTGGAGATGGGACTTGACATGATCGATACCATCACGTAAGTGTTGCACTGGTAGCATGTCTGTCTCAGGCTGCAGAGCTGAGGCAGCAGTAGGAGGGGGCTGGGTCAGAGTGCCCCACCTGCATTGGGGGTGATACACTGGGGGTGACGCATTGGGGTGTGATGTATTGGGAGGTGACGCATTGGGGTGTGATGCATTGGGGATGATGCATTGGGAGGTGATGCATTGGTGAACCATCCTCTCAATCTAGGATGCATTTCTCTGTCCACATAAACCCTTTGCGTGTCTAGTGTGCCCCGAAGGGACCTTTGTAACTGAGCTTGGTGAGGCACCGAGGAAGGCTGAGGGCAGAAGCCCATTCAAAGCCAGCCAGCGTTCTTCTGAGCAGTCAGTTGCCTCTGGTGCTCTGTAGGGAGAAGGGGCCTGAGTCTGGGGGTGTGAGTCTGGGGGTGTGAGTCTGGGGGTGTGAGTTCCTGTGGAGTGGGTTCTCCTATGAGACCCAGCCGACCTTTTCTTGGTCCACCTCAGCTGCCCTTGTCAGAGATGGAGATGGGTCCCAGGTGTGGGACCGATGGATGGAGGTAGATCCAGACAGCCCAGCCTGAGTGGCAGGTCGTCTCCATGAGATGTTTTCAGGATTGGTGAGAAGGCCATGCTTGGAGTGTCGAGAATAGCATACACATTATTCAAGGAAGATGCCAAGTGGCTGCCGCATGCAGGAATGCACACAGAGTGTCTTCACAGTTGGGGCTTTGGGGCAGGTGTAAGAAAGGAGCGAGTGCTGGGGTTACCCTGAGCACCAAAGTTGGCTCTGCGGGGCCTAGCTCTCCAGAACTGCTCCTGCCAAGGCCCTTGGGAGCTGATCTGAGCTCCTCTCTATGACTGTGAGTGGAAAAGTACCCTAGTGTCTGCGGTGCACCCCCAGATGCTGACCCACTGCCCTGGGAAAAAGCAGCTGGAAGAAGCGTTCTGCTGAAAGGGGATAAGGGAAAGATGCCTAGTGATGACTGGCTTTTCTTCCTGGATGGATGTTATGTAATGTGGGCACATGATCAGATCACTAATAAGGTTTGGAGAGATGGCTCAGTGGGTTAGGAGTACTGGCTGCTTTTCCAGAGGTCCTGAGTTTGATTCCCAGCACCCACGTGGTGGCTCACAATGCTCAGAAACTCCAGTTCCAAGGGCTCTGACACCTGCTCCCTTCTGGCCTCCTTGGGCACTGCATGCATGCGGCCCACAGACATACATGCAGGCAAAACACCCATACACATATAATAAAAATAAAATTAAAAATCACTATTGTTATGATATATCATATGTGGCAACACACAACATATCTTCTACCGTGCTCCCTATCCGGTCAGTGTCATCACCCCTCATCTGCATCACATCCTCTACCATCTAACTATAGTTTACACAATACCATGTATCATATTTTATCATGTGCACGTCAGTGTATTGGACTGTATATCGTATCTGGTATCACGTATGCTGCATATCCAATGACACCATACTCTTACTGACTCCAAGGATGGTAATTCGGTGTTCACCACGAGCCCAGTGAGTCCAGGATAGATTGTCAAGAAAAGAACAATATGTATTCTTAAAGTCAGCAAAACCAAGACGAGGGAGTGTCATCTCGTCTCCAGGCTCCTCTTCTCTTTAGTGTTTAAATTAGGATGAATTAAAGTATTCTATCTACCCGTGTGTGAAATTGTCATAGTGGAACCATTGTTTCTACACTCGTATCCACTAATGACCAAAGGGGAAAAGGAGGAGTGACTGGCGAAACCTGGTGGCTGGGGAGCGTGGATTTGACATGGGTGGCTCCATCTCATGCCATTAGTTAGGGCCTTGTGATTGATGAGCTGTGTCCTCAGAGGGGGTGTCCTGTAACTGTAGGAGACAGGCCCAGAGTAGCAGGGGGCCTGTGCTACCTTCCAAAGCCCAGCCTGCTACGGTCCACCGCTCTGCACCACCCTTCATAGTATATATCATCTATAGACCGAGAGCATATTTCACCAGGTCTGATGTGTGACCTGATTCCGATATAATGAGGCTTTGTAGGAGGAAGCTCTGAGACAGAGGGTGTACTGCGCAGACCCAGGTAAAGTTAGGAGGGTGCCCCAGCTGACTGGGGTACCACGCGACTCACAGTGGTGCCTGGTAAGCTAGGTGCCCTTCCTGCCTGTGCCCTCTGGCAGCTTTATTTCCCACTTGGTCTCTCCGTGGTCAGGAGCCTGGTTTCTCAGATGGGGCTCAGGCTTTCCCTTCCTTCTAGTCTCTCTTGTGAAGTTGGCATGTGCTTCGATTCTAAGCCTTTTCTGTGGAGTGCCACGTCTGCAAGCCAGTATCTTGCCACCCTGCCCAATGTGCTCTGTTTTGTGGTCTCCTCTCTATTGCTCCAGTATTTCAGCTGGGACTCTCTGGCTCTGTCATGAGAGACTGGAGAGCCCGAGGCGGAGCAGTCTTGTCTTAGTCTTCCCTAGACTGCTTTCCACTCCATCTGAAAACCCTACAGCCTCGAGATCCCCTGAGCCCAGAGTCTTTCTGTGACCTGAATTTCTGGCTCTGGATTGAAAGGAACACGCAGCTGAGTTCATCCAAGAGACTCCTAACAGCCGTCTTCCTGTAGGAATTGCAGAGCCAGGGATGGCCCATGTGCACTCGGCATTGGCTGACCTCTGGATCTCCCAGGAAGATTCCATATGGCAACTGGCACCTTCCCTGTGGCCATACCAGCCTGCGTGTGCCCGTTTCAGAGGGGTGAAACACACAAGACATAGCATGTTTCTCAAGAGGACCAGTAAGTCTAGGCAAAGCATGGTATTCATGTGGTTTTGTTCCTTGACCTTGGAGTGGACCACCCGGGAGCTTTCAGGGAACACTGGGGTACTTGGAAAAGAACTTGGAAGAACCAGACAAGTGCTGGAACTCATGTGCAGAGCGCCACGCTGGGCCTTGCACCACATGCCCCAATGTGGTGGTAGTGCCTGTGCCCTTAGCTGCATCTTCCTTCTGTCCGGAGCCATCTGAACCAGGAATAACTCCCAGTGGCTTCAGCGGTGTGGATTCGTTGATTCTGAAATGACCTCCTTTTCCAAAGATTCCAAAGAGTGATGGACAGTGTGTCCCAGTGACCAGTAAATAGCTGAGCCTGTGGGCCAGAAGTTCCCATTTTCAGGGGCCACAGGTCTTCTGTAGGTTTGAGAATTCTGACTGGGAAGAGCTTTCTGAGACTCAAAGACCAACGTTGGGCAATGGTGGCACACGCCTTTAATCCCAGCACTCGGGAGACAGAAGTAAGTGGATCTCTGAGTTCGAGGCCAGCTGGACGACAGAGCTAGTTCCAGGACAGGCTCCAAAGCCACAGAGAAACCCTGTCTTGAAACCTCCCTGTCCTCCTCCCACCCCCCAAAAAACCAACAACAACAAAGACCAGCATGGTTATTGGAAGATTACGCACATCTCTTAGATGCATGGTGTAATGATGAAGGGGGGTAGGGAGGCCACTATCCCCTGACCCAGCTGGGTTGGGGCTCCATGATCAGCTGTTAAGTACAAAGGAGGCTTTGCTGGCAGCACTTGTGCCGGGACTGCTGGCTGGTGTAAGCATGGTAATCCATTTCGACACTTAACACATGTAGGGTGGGCTTACGTAGGGAAGGAGCATGGACTAGAGGAGGAAGGCCCACAGTCATGGCAGGCACTGCTCCTGTGCGAACGTAGATAGACTCTTGCTAGACTGGTCCTGGTTTCTCCCCAGACCAGAGGAGTCAGTGCCCTTCCCTTGTTCACTGCTGTGTAACAGTCCGGTGGTTAGTTTGCTTCCTAGACTCTTCATTCCTATGGGGATAAGAAACACAGGCATTCACTTTATTTTTTCTTTTATAACCTTTAAACTCAGGCTATCCGTGCCTGTGTTCTTGCCACTGGCTTGTTCAGAGGTCAAGGGTATTGTTTTTCTGCGGCCTGCCGTCACAGACAGCTCTGAAGTGATCCCAGAATGGGGCAGTAAGGGCGCCTAAAGTGTAGAGAGAGCATTTGCTCTCCTCACCTTTCCGTCTCTGCGATGCGCTACCCAAGAAGAAAGGGCTTTAGGGTCCTCTCCTCATCTGCTATACCAGGGCTGGCAGAGCCGGCTCCTCCTGGATTCAATGAGTGAGTCTGAGTCTACCTCCACCCTACCCTCCGCTGGGTGGCTCAAGGATTTCTGTGCTGATCTGGCCTCAGAATAGCCCCTCCGAAGCTCTCTTCCCAGATGCCCCTGAGAACTGGCTTTTGGGACAGAGGTCACTGGAACTCTTCTCCTGGTGACGATGTAGCTGAGTATTCCTCCTCCCCCCATCCAGCATGGTCTGTGCCTCCTCCCTGTTCTGATTATACCCCTTCCCTCCCACAATGGACCCAACCTCCACTTTTCCTGAGTGACCCCAGGTTGTTGAGGATGTGGAGGAGCCTTTGAGTTCCTGGTTCCCAGCCTGGGTGATGTTTCCTTTTCCTCGAACGCTTCTTCCTCTGGTGGTGAATGGAGAAATGGTGCCCGTGAGGAGTAAGCGCAGTAGCTGAGTGGGAGGATTTCGGCAGGGAATGACTCACCAGTACCCAGACAGAGGGAGCCAACCCAAGAAGAGGGAGGCCCTCTGCGGCAGGGTTTCCCCAGGATTCCCTCCACCGTGCTGCCCGTGGTCCTGTACTAGTCTGTCCACGTCACGGGGAAGCCCCTGCTGGCACAAGTGAGATGGGAACAGTGACCTAATTATTCTTCCCTGCGCCTTTCAAGTGCACAATGTTCTTTTTTTCTAAATAGATGTTATCTAGCCTTGGCCTGCTCTTGAGCTGTGTGTCTTTCATCTGCTATGCTGAATTGGGAGATGCACGGGTGCCCCCCCTTCAGTGACCCGGTGAGGGGACAGCTTGTGGCATCAATAAATCATTGGTGGATGCCTGTGGTCTCTAGGCTAAAGTTCTCATACCCAGGCTTTTCTTTCTTGGGTGTTTGTGAGCCACAGCACATGACATGGTTTCTCAGTGCAGACTGACCTTGAGAACTGCTTGGTCTAATTATTGGGTTCTGGGTTTTAGAGTCCGGCCTGTGGGTGTGTTTAAGGAGTTTTCTCTGGGGTGGAGGATGCTGTATATGCTTCCAAATTTCCACTCATGACAAAAATTCTGTCGTATTGTTTTGGGGACCTGGGGATTCTGAGTCTATATGTTATAACTAATGATTGCATTTTTATACATGGCAAAGCTGAGGCCCCAGAGGGGAACTTAGGAGTCCATGTTAATGGCACAAGTTTGATCCCCTTGGGTGGAAGGGGTTGCTAGGATGGAGGCTGGGGGCTGCCTCAGGCAATTGTGTTATCACTGCATCTGGGAAATTCTGCCTAGCGGACAGCAGATCACCTCTTAGAGAGCCTTTTATTTTGTCTGTTGTGTGCACAGCTGTATCCATAGTGCCTGGAAGAATGGCCAAGAGCAGTGAACTCAGTAAGTTCTTATTGAACAGAACCCAGATTCGTCCTTTCATCTTTGCTCCAGGATCTGTGTACCCTGAAAGGGAGGAGGGGGCCTGTGCCTCAAGGTGGGCTGCTTCCTATTGGGATCCAGCACCAAACAGGGTCAGGACCACATTCTTCCTTCATAGAAAGTACTTGTGATAAATAAGTCACTCTGAGACCATAAATAAGAAATATAGGGCGAATAAAGAAGACGAGGTTTAAAAATCCTGATGTCCTGGAAATGAAGTAAAAGCTTTGTTAGATCTGGGCAAAACATGCCTGGGTCTAAGGGAGCCAAGAGGACTCCCAGCAGAACAGCTGGCTGTGCCGTTTCCTTAGAAAACACTCTCCTGCGTGCTATGGATTCGGCGCTGCCAGCTTTGACATGCCAGATGCCAGGAAAGACAGACTGAGTGTTGGCAGGTGTTGAGTGCCAGACACGCGGGACCTTGGGGCGTCGGTGAACGGCTGACTTGGAAGGCTCAAGGGAACTGTGGACATTTGTGGACATGGGCAAGTACCTGTCCCAGCAGTTCCTAGGCTGTCTTACCTTCTGTGGCTGCAGAAAGGGAAATGCTGAATGTGCTCCAGAAGGAAGGGCTGGTGTCTCTCTGAAGGAACGTTGCTTATGTGGGTTTGGAAATGCCAACTTTCTCTTTAGGGTTTTGTCTCAGTGTCTCCTATTGAAGATTGGCAGACCACTGGGAATGAAGTTAAAATTTTAAAAGTTTCATTCAAAATGTAAAAAGCAAAATGGGTCTTAAAGACTTTGTGTTACTCCGACTTCCACATGCACTTCTAGGGTCGCTGAAACTGACTGAGTGCTAGGAATTCAGGGCCCGGCCCTTGGGCTGCAGCTGGCTTTGGCGTCTTGCCTACCCAAGCACAGAGACGGGGGCAGCTGTCCTGTTTGGAAGATGGCTCAGGGGAGCACCCGTGGGGCATGAGGGGAGGCCAGAGGGTGTGGGGATGTGCTGTGCAGGTGTTCCAGGTGGGAGCAGGATGGCAGTTTGTAAACAGAAGTCAGGGTGAAGGTCAGCCAGACACAGAGTGGGATCAATGCACGCACGCTATTTTATTACTGAAAACGTGACCTGCAGTGTTGTCCTAGGAGGCCCTGCAGAGCTGAGGGTGGAGCAGGCAGAGACTCACCAAAGGCTGCACTGTTTGCCACGTGATCATACGCCTGCAGTGATGAGGGGACTGTTCTTCCCAGAATCCTTCATGGAGCAGCCCATGGTGTTCTTTATTAGCGGAATAGAAAAAGCTGGCAAGGGGTGGCTTTCGTCTCCCGCAATGAGGTCCACCAGGACAGCTCTGAAGCAAAAGTCAAGAGATTGGCAGAGCTAATGCTGGCAGAGCCGGACTCACACGCCAGGACACTTGAGTCTCCGTGACCAAGAGTAGCGTGTCCTCAGTTGGTCACATCGACTGGTTCCCCCGTTTTTAATTCCCTTATCACATGGTCTGCCTTTATCCACCTCTCCAGAGCTGTTTCCTTGGAGAGAAGATCCACATTGAAGTTCTTGGCTCGTTTCCTTCTGAGGACTTCCCTGGGTGGGGAGGGGCAGGAGGATGCTTTGTTGGGAGCTCACAGGACTCGTTGTACGTTGATGTGGCTGGCCTTTACCTCACAAGCGGGCAGAGATGTGCTGCTGTCCTCCGATCAGACCTCCACACACCTCTCACACTCCAGACGCACGCAGCCTGTGCCCCAGTGCTCATGGCCCCCGTAGTGCAGCCGTGACAGCTCACTGGGGTAGTTGCCCGGCAGCCTGCAGCCCTGTGCCCTCTGTCCCTGTGTTCCAGATCTGTGGCCGAGGCTACTGAAGTAGACCTGAACATGCGTGTGGGGCTGCACACCGGCAGGGTGCTCTGTGGTGTCCTGGGCCTACGCAAGTGGCAGTATGATGTGTGGTCCAATGACGTGACCCTAGCCAATGTCATGGAGGCTGCTGGCTTACCTGGGTAAGTTTTAGTTGGGGTGGAAGGTGGCTGAGTCCTTTGTTAGAGTCCTCATCTCGGGCTTTGATCCTGAGGGGACTTGGGGAAGTTCTGCTTTGACCCTCCGGGGGACCCAGCTAAGATCCAGTACACATCTGCAGGAAACCAGTGTGGATCAGACCAGATGTGCATGGGAGCTTTACCCTGGCACATGGGGTATTCTCATGTTTTATTATTGCTTCTGTTTTTTTATTTTCTCACACCTGTGTGTGGACAACGCCGTGACTTTAAAGGCTCCCTCGTGGCTGTCAGTCATGCTCTGGCCACTTGGCCATCTTTCAGTCAGCTGCAGAGTTCGACCATGAACTCAAGGCTTTCTCCTACAGGGGATTCACAACGTCTGGAAAGAGCTGGTCTGGAAAGGTGGCTGGAATGCTGTGAGGCAGAGAAGCAAGGCAGGTGGGGGTTCCCATATCATTTCCCACTGCCCTCTCTCCTGGCTACCAGCATCCGGGACCTGCAGCTCCTCACTGCGCTGGTGATGGAGGGCTCCCCTTTCTTTTTTTACTCTACCTGTTTGGTTCTCATCTTCTGTATTAGAATATTCTGACTATTTCCTTCTCTCCTTTGGGTCTCTTCCTGATCCTTCACCAACCCTATTCTGCCTTCCTGGGTGTGTGCCCCATCTCTTGGCTTGCCTGGGCCTCCCCGCCCTTGCTTTCCAGGTTTCCCATGCACTGGAACATGAGTGTGGATACCTCAGGAGTCTTGCTCCGAGCAGAATAACCTCTGCTGTGACCCCAGCGAGTGCCTCACCCAGGTCCCTGCACAGCCACACGTGTGAGTTCACACTCAGCTGTGTTTTTTTTTTTCTCCCACAGGAAGGTTCACATCACAAAGACGACCCTCGCATGCCTGAATGGGGACTACGAGGTAGAGCCAGGACATGGCCACGAGAGGAACACCTTCCTGAGAACCCACAACATCGAGACCTTCTTTATTGTGCCGTCCCATCGGAGAAAGGTGGGCAGCCAGTCCCCTCATCCAGTCATAAACAGCCTGGCTTTACAGAGCAGAGTTTTAAATAAACACTTGTTCTCATCTGCTACTCTCCCAACTGCTCCTCCGGATGTGGGCACAGAGATACGGGCTGCAGGGCTTTGGCTCATGTATATAGGAGGGGAGAAGAGAAAGGAGTAGTTGGAGTCTGGAGTCAGAAATCTGGGGATGCCTGACTGTGCCACTTTGGGTTCTTTTTCCTGTCTTTGGCCCTTCAGACCTTTGTATAGTGGCCTTGAACTTCCTGCAAGAGGCTGGGGTACAAATCTTTGTGAACTTACAGACGCTGTGCTGGAGGGAACTCTGACCATCCTGTGCTGGATGCTTCAGGTCACATTGCCAGGAGAAAGATGATGTGGTTAGGATTGAGGGTGGCAGAGATGCTTCCAGGGCTGAGGTGACCATTCAAGTTGTTTGGATGGCATGGACTGAGATTACCGTTCTGACTCAGATGAGGGGTGGGCTCAGAGGAGGGTGTGAACTCAGATGAGAGAAGTGGTTCAGGTAACTGTCCTTGTTGAGGTAGGGGTGCTGGTTCAGTGAGGATGCTGTGTCGCTGAGGGTGTGAACTCAGGTGAGGGTGTGGGTTCAGGTGAGGGTGAGGGTGTGGGTTCAGGTGAGGGTGTGGGTTCAGGTGAGGGTGTGGGCTGAGGTGAGGGTGTGGGTTCAGGTGAGGGTGTGGGTTCAGGTGAGGGTGTGGGTTCAGGTGAGGGTGTGGGCTGAGGTGAGGGTATGGGTTCAGGTGAGGGTGTGAACTCAGGTGAGGGTGTGGGTTCAGGTGAGGGTGTGGGTTCAGATGAGGGTGTGGGTTCAGGTGAGGGTGTGGGTTCAGGTGAGGGTGTGGGTTCAGGTGAGGGTGTGGGTTCAGGTGAGGGTGTGGGTTCAGGTGAGGGTGTGGGTTCAGGTGAGGGTGTGGGTTCAGGTGAGGGTGTGGGTTCAGGTGAGGGTGTGGGTTCAGGTGAGGGTGTGGGTTCAGGTGAGGGTGTAGGTTCAGGTGAGGGTGTGGGTTCAGGTGAGGGTGTGGGCTGAGGTGAGGGTGTGGGTTCAGGTGAGGGTGTGGGTTCAGGTGAGGGTATGGGCTGAGGTGAGGGTGTGGGTACAGGTGAGGGTGTGGGTTCAGGTGAGGGTGAGGGTGTGGGTTCAGGTGAGGGTGTGGGTTCAGGTGAGGGTGTGGGTTCAGGTGAGGGTGTGGGTTCAGGTGAGGGTGTGGGTTCAGGTGAGGGTATGGGCTGAGGTGAGGGTGTGGGTACAGGTGAGGGTGTGGGCTGAGGTGAGGGTGTGGGTTCAGGTGAGGGTGTGGGTTCAGGTGAGGGTGTGGGTACAGGTGAGGGTGTGGGTTCAGGTGAGGGTGTGGGTTCAGGTGAGGGTGTGGGTTCAGGTGAGGGTGTGGGTTCAGGTGAGGGTGTGGGTTCAGGTGAGGGTGTGGGTTCAGGTGAGGGTGTGGGTTCAGGTGAGGGTGAGGGTGTGGGTTCAGGTGAGGGTGAGGGTGTGGGTTCAGGTGAGGGTGTGGGTTCAGGTGAGGGTGTGGGTTCAGGTGAGGGTGTGGGTTCAGGTGAGGGTGTGGGTTCAGGTGAGGGTGTGGGTTCAGGTGAGGGTATGGGCTGAGGTGAGGGTGTGGGTACAGGTGAGGGTGTGGGCTGAGGTGAGGGTGTGGGTTCAGGTGAGGGTGTGGGTTCAGGTGAGGGTGTGGGTACAGGTGAGGGTGTGGGTTCAGGTGAGGGTGTGGGTTCAGGTGAGGGTGTGGGTTCAGGTGAGGGTATGGGTTCAGGTGGGTTCAGGTGAGGGTGTGGGTTCAGGTGAGGGTGTGGGTTCAGGTGAGGGTGTGGGTTCAGGTGAGGGTGTGGGTTCAGGTGAGGGTGAGGGTGTGGGTTCAGGTGAGGGTGAGGGTGTGGGTTCAGGTGAGGGTGTGGGTTCAGGTGAGGGTGTGGGTTCAGGTGAGGGTGTGGGTTCAGGTGAGGGTGTGGGTTCAGGTGAGGGTATGGGCTGAGGTGAGGGTGTGGGTACAGGTGAGGGTGTGGGCTGAGGTGAGGGTGTGGGTTCAGGTGAGGGTGTGGGTTCAGGTGAGGGTGTGGGTACAGGTGAGGGTGTGGGTTCAGGTGAGGGTGTGGGTTCAGGTGAGGGTGTGGGTTCAGGTGAGGGTGTGGGTTCAGGTGAGGGTGTGGGTTCAGGTGAGGGTGAGGGTGTGGGTTCAGGTGAGGGTGAGGGTGTGGGTTCAGGTGAGGGTGTGGGTTCAGGTGAGGGTGTGGGTTCAGGTGAGGGTGTGGGTTCAGGTGAGGGTGTGGGTTCAGGTGAGGGTGTGGGCTGAGGTGAGGGTGTGGGTACAGGTGAGGGTGTGGGCTGAGGTGAGGGTGTGGGTTCAGGTGAGGGTGTGGGTTCAGGTGAGGGTGTGGGTACAGGTGAGGGTGTGGGTTCAGGTGAGGGTGTGGGTTCAGGTGAGGGTGTGGGTTCAGGTGAGGGTATGGGTTCAGGTGGGTTCAGGTGAGGGTGTGGGTTCAGGTGAGGGTGTGGGTTCAGGTGAGGGTGTGGGTTCAGGTGAGGGTGTGGGTTCAGGTGAGGGTGTGGGTTCAGGTGAGGGTGTGGGTTCAGGTGAGGGTGTGGGTTCAGGTGAGGGTGAGGGTGTGGGTTCAGGTGAGGGTGAGGGTGTGGGTTCAGGTGAGGGTGTGGGTTCAGGTGAGGGTGTGGGTTCAGGTGAGGGTGTGGGTTCAGGTGAGGGTATGGGCTGAGGTGAGGGTGTGGGTACAGGTGAGGGTGTGGGCTGAGGTGAGGGTGTGGGTTCAGGTGAGGGTGTGGGTTCAGGTGAGGGTGTGGGTACAGGTGAGGGTGTGGGTTCAGGTGAGGGTGTGGGTTCAGGTGAGGGTGTGGGTTCAGGTGAGGGTATGGGTTCAGGTGGGTTCAGGTGAGGGTGTGGGTTCAGGTGAGGGTGTGGGTTCAGGTGAGGGTGTGGGTTCAGGTGAGGGTGTGGGTTCAGGTGAGGGTGTGGGTTCAGGTGAGGGTGTGGGTTCAGGTGAGGGTGTGGGTTCAGGTGAGGGTGTGGGTTCAGGTGAGGGTGTGGGCTGAGGTGAGGGTGTGGGTTCAGGTGAGGGTGTGGGTTCAGGTGAGGGTGTGGGTTCAGGTGAGGGTGTGGGTTCAGGTGAGGGTGTGGGTTCAGGTGAGGGTGTGGGTACAGGTGAGGGTGTGGGTTCAGGTGAGGGTGTGGGTTCAGGTGAGGGTGAGGGTGTGGGTTCAGGTGAGGGTGAGGGTGTGGGTTCAGGTGAGGGTGTGGGTTCAGGTGAGGGTGTGGGTTCAGGTGAGGGTGTGGGTTCAGGTGAGGGTGTGGGTTCAGGTGAGGGTGTGGGGTGAGGGTGTGGGCTGAGGTGAGGGTGTGGGTTCAGGTGAGGGTGTGGGTACAGGTGAGGGTGTGGGTTCAGGTGAGGGTGTGGGTTCAGGTGAGGGTGTGGGTTCAGGTGAGGGTGTGGGCTGAGGTGAGGGTGTGGGTTCAGGTGAGGGTGTGGGTACAGGTGAGGGTGTGGGTTCAGGTGAGGGTGTGGGTTCAGGTGAGGGTGCGGGCTGAGGTGAGGGTGTAAGCTCAGGAGGGTGTGTGCTTAGGTGAAGGTGTGAACTCAGGTAAGGGTGTGGCGCAGATGTAGTTAGGTCCTCACATGACGATTTAGGTGGACGATGGTTCTCTTGAAGATGAAGGTTCTGGTTTAGGTGATGGGTTAGGTGAGTGTGCCTCTTCACATGAAGCTATGTGTTTAGTTGAGGGTGCAGGCGCATGTGACAGTGAATGTGCAGTTTCCTGGATACCTGGTGTGCAGGAGGTACCAAGCAACCTAATTTCAGGGCCCGTTAGTTCCTATCACTGTTAAGGTCATGTTTCCAGCCCGGGAGTCGAGATCCGCTTCATTGACAATGTTTCCCCTCCCCTTGTGTTTGGATAGATATTTCCAGGCTTGATTCTCTCCGATATAAAACCAGCCAAGAGGATGAAGTTCAAGACTGTCTGCTACCTGCTGGTACAGCTCATGCATTGCCGGAAAATGTTCAAAGCAGAGATCCCCTTCTCCAATGTAATGACCTGCGAGGATGATGACAAGGTAGGAGTGGCCGAGGGTCCTGGGGTCCTGTTCCCTCTCCTCCCGCCTGATGCAGCTTGGCTAGGACACTCCTCACTGGTGATACCTGTCTGATCAGGTGACACAGCACAAGTCTGTATGTTAATTCATATTTTGTATGTATCCAAGTCTAAGCTCGCATTCCCCACGTTCTGTCCGAGGAGCTCGGGTTAGTCCTTCAGGTCTGCTAATCTTCAGCTTTCTCTTCCTGTCGCCATGGGCTTCTGTGATCCCATGCACCTAACTCTCACATTGCATGGGGAATGTGAAAAGGATCCAGGAAGTGATGGGGGTAGGGGGACGGACTTGCATGTGTAAAAGGTTCAGCTGGCAGGATGCAGCCTTGATTTCTAGCTCCATATGTTAGCCAGCCCAGGCAGCCACCACAAAAGCGCCCAGTCTGAGAGGTGTTAACCGCAAGCACTCACTCACTGGCAGCCTGATGTCCAAGGTCAGGGTACCTGCAGGCCTAGTCTCTTTTTGGTTTGCAGGAACTGTTTTCTTGCTGTGTCCTGTGTAGTAGGCACAGGCTTTGGAGTCACCTCCTCTTCTTATAAGGGCATAATCCCATCAGGACCCCCTCTAAAGAAACACCTCCCAAGTCTCCTCCTGTTCTATTGTCTTTGTGGGAGTTAGATTTTCAGCACATGGATTTGGCGGGGAGGGGGTTAAATAAGGGTTCAGCCATCGCGGTTGGCAGTGCTTTTTTTCTCTCCCAGCATGCTTCACTGGGTCCTGCCTTCCAGGGCCGCTGTTAATTCAGAGCCCTTCCAGTTCCCTGTGATAAGGTACCTGTGTGCCCTTGTCCATCCTTGGTGCCCCATCTTGTGTTCTGGCCACACAGCACACTTTCTCTTAGGTCGCTTTGTAACTGGTACCCAGTGTCCCCAGAGGACCTGTCTGGAAATGAATTATGTTGCCGTTTCTTTTCCTTCACTTTCTTCTGTTATTTTTCCTGGAAGGCTTATTATTTGGGTGTTGGAGCTCTTGAACTGACTGAACTCCTCCCTCCCCTGAGCTCTTTCCTTCTATTTTCTGGAAAGTATTTTTTCAACTTTATCATCTGTCTTCATTAGGGTTTCTGTTGCTGCGACGAAACACCCTGACCAAAAGGCAAGTTGGGGAGGAGAGGATTTGTTTGGCTTACACTTAGTCACTGAAGGAAGTCAGGACAGGAACTCAAACAGCAGGATCCTGGAGGCAGGAGCTGATGCAGAGGCCATGGAGGGGAGCTGCTTACTGGCTTGTTTCCCTTGTTTTGCTTAGCCTGCTTTCTTACAGAACCTAGGACCACCAGCCCAGGGATGGCACCACCCTCTTCAATCACTAGTTGAGAAAATGCCTTGTAGTTGAATCTCATGGAGGCATTTCCTCAGCTGAGGCTCCTTCCTCTCTGATGACTCCAGCTTGTTGTTGGAAGGAAGGAGCCCATTTGTTGATCCTGCCCGCCCAGCTAGCTTAGACCAGAAATAAACACACAGAAACTATATTAATTAAATCACTGCTTAGCCCATTAGCTCTAGTTTCTTACTGGCTAACTCTTACATATTAATTTAACCCCTTTCTATTAATCTGTGTATCACCACTAGGCCAGAGCGCTACCAGCAAAGTCTCAGCACATCCATCTCTGGTGGTGGTTCCACAACGTCTCCCTGACTCTGCCCTTCTTTCTTCCAGCATTTGATTTAGTCCTCCCTGCCTACCTAAGTTCTGCCCTATCAACAGGTCAAGGCCGTTTCTTTATTCATTAATGGTAATCACTGTGCACAGAGGGGAAGGGACTCCCACATTATCTTGTATCACATTGGCACACAAAACCGGCTAGTACATCATCCAATGCCTCTGTTGAGCTTTTCAATTCTTAAAAATTCCGGGTTCTCTTTATTTTATGAGTAATTCCCTAATGAAATTGTATTCCATGTCAGAGACCCCAGGCTGACGTGGTGGAAACTTGCCATGTAGCTAAGGATGCCCTTGAACTTCTGCCTCTCCTGCCTCTACCTCCCAACACTGGGATTACAGATGTGTGCCGTCACAACTGGTTTTAATGCAGGGGATCAATCGCAGGGCTTCATGGGTATGCCAGGCAAGCACTACAACCCCAGCTTCCATCACTCGCTGAGATTAACTTAATTTTTATAATATTTGTGGGTGGGTTCACATGCCTGTGTACTATGGGGTGCAGGTGGACGCCTGTAGCTGCTGGCTTTCTACTTCCAAACTCAGCCATCAGACCTGGTGACAGATGCTTTTCCCTGCTGAACCATCTCACTCTCTCAGGATTTTTATTCTATTTTTTTTAAATGTGTGTGTGTGGTTTGCATGCCTGTTGTGGGTGCATGTATGTGTATTGAGGGGGGTGCACTTGTGAACATGTACTTCTGATATCGAAGGTTAATGTTGGGTACCTTCCTCGATTGATCTCCACCTTGTTCTTTGAGGCAGGGTCTCCCCCTGGAATCCAGTGCTCACCCAGGTGCTACTCTAACTAGGTAGCTGACTCAAAGAATCCTCTGACCCTGCCTGCCTAGCTAAGGAATGACAGTGGGTACCATGCCCACCCGGCTCTGACTTGGGTTTAGGGAGCTGCCTTCCAGTCCTTACTCTTGTTCTTGCATGGCAGGCACTTTAGCCACTGGCCCTTCTCCTCAGCCCCCTCATGGAGGTTTTTTAAGAGAGAATTGCTGGTCCTGGAAACATCTGTTTTCTTCGAGCAGCTGTTTTATGTTTCCCTTTAGCATGTCTGTCGTCATCTGTAATCCTACAGACACCGGAGCCTTTTCTGCTTTGTTTTTGAGAGAGAAGACTGCAAAGCTGGCTACAAGTGCTGAGCTAGGGACGGCGCTCCAGTGGCTTCTGTGGACGCCAGGGTTCTCTGTCTTGGATGATCAGGCCATCACTTGTGGGTCTTCAGATCTTCTGGGCATGTGGTGGTGGTTATGATGGCGTCTCAGGCTTCACTTCAACCATACAGAGCCAGAGACCCTGATTCCCCTTCTGGGGAAGACCACACATTGTTTCACCAAAGAGCGTGGGGTGCACTTTAGGGCTCTAGTGCCCCCTTGTGGATGGCTCTTGACCAGAACCACTGTATCCAGGAGTGCTTGAGCCTGAAGGTGCCTGATACCGCGTTGCCCACTCTGTCCAGCCCTCTGAGATTACACTGGCTTTACCTTGCCTTTGTTTGCTCCACCCTGTTGCTGCCTTTCCCACCATTGTTTGTTCTGCTGTTACTGGTTTTATACCTTTTAAAGAAAGAAACTTCCTGGTGCAGTTAGAGGCTTTTCGGGACTCTTGCTTATAGTGGTTCCTTGCCACAAGAATTTGTGTATGTGAGTTCCTCTGTGCTGGAACTTTTTCTGAGAATATTCTAAGAACTTCATTCATGGTGGATCACATCAGAGAGGATGATTAGCTTTTATGTGTGCCCAGGTAACTGGAAGCTTGCATTTTACTAAATGCTTGGCTTCTTGGCTTCCGTCACAGTAGGAATTTTAGCTCCAGTGACACAGACAGCAGACAGACAGACACACAGACAGACAGACAGACAGACAGACACACACACACACACACACACACACACACACACACATCTGGTAGGTTCCTCATCCCATCCATCCCCTGTCCTGGAGATGCACGATCAGCCAGAGCGATCTTCAGCAGGGATCCTGGTCACTTTAGCCAGCATGCTCTGACCTCCGATGTCTACTGAGTAGTTTTCTGTCCACAGAGCCTCTTTTCTTCTTGACTGTACACCCCCAGTTGCTGTGCTGCATTCAGAGTTGAATCCAGGAGCCTGCCACCATGGCCTCTGTACTTTCTGCAAGGTCTTGTGTAGAGCCTGCCCCAATATTGAAATGATTTCCTTTTAATAACACCAAGCCTCGGTGTGGTGTCTCTTCCACCATGCTTTGGTTTCTCTCCTTTGCTGATGTTGTTACCACACCAGGGACGGATCCTGATAGCGTACCTCAGCCCCCAAACACATTTGCACCTGTTCCATTTGTCCTTCGGACCCTTTCCTGCCCATGAAGGAATTTATTATGGATGACATCTCCAAATACAAAAATGCACAAGAAAGGCAAATGAAAAACGTTTGTCATCCACCCCCCCCCCCCAGATGAGACCTGGCACTCTGGCTCCATCAGTGTCCTAACTGTGGGCCCTGGAGTTCCTTTAAGGGTCTTCATTATATCGTAGAGGCAGTTCGGCTGCTTGTTTCTCCTTCTCTTGTCTGGGTGTATCATACAGTTGTCTTTACATCATTAGCTGCCCCTCAGTCTGAGTTTTCAGTCTTTGGCTTAGGCTTTAAACCCAAGGAGAGATGGTTTATGTGGCATTGATATTTGGGACTTTTCTGTTTTTACTAACGAAGGCAGGTCATGGTACTTTTATTCGTGGAAGTACAGTTTCATCCCTGGGCATTCTGTAAACTGTGCCTGGCAAGTATGGGCTCTGTGTGTGCCACTGATGAGAGATTATGGTGCCATCACCAGCAGTGACTGTTGAGGGGCACAGTCAGCATGGAGTCACCAGCAGTGACACTGAGGGGCACAGTCAGCATGGAGTCACCAGCAGTGACACTGAGGGGCACAGTCAGCATGGAGTCACCAGCAGTGACACTGAGGGGCACAGCCAGCATGGAGTCACCAGCAGTGACACTGAGGGGCACAGCCAGCATGGAGTCACCAGCAGTGACACTGAGGGGCACAGTCAGCATGGAGTCACCAGCAGTGACACTGAGGGGCACAGTCAGCATGGAGTCACCAGCAGTGACACTGAGGGGCACAGCCAGCATGGAGTCACCAGCAGTGACACTGAGGGGCACAGTCAGCATGGAGTCACCAGCAGTGACACTGAGGGGCACAGCCAGCATGGAGTCACCAGCAGTGACACTGAGGGGCACAGTCAGCATAGGATAAGGGCCTCCTTTATTATTGTTTTCTGATTTTTTGAAATGTATTTGTTCCTCTGTTCTACACTCAGAAACCTCCCCATTCTACATTTATTCATTCTTTCTCTCTCCTTCCCTCCCTTCTTCCTTCCTTCCTTTCTTCCTTCCCCTCCCTCCCTCCCTCCCTTGCTACCCCTTCTTCACCCCCGCCCCCTTGTATACAGTTTTAAATCTAAGCGTATCAATTTAAAGCAACATGAAAGCCACTTGTGTGGGCGACACAGGAGTCAAGTGCTCTGGATTGCTCCTGTTTCTCTGTTCCCTTCTGGAAATCAGCTTGTGTATGAAGTGGGTGGTAACTGGGTGAACTGAGCCTTTTCCACCCCAGAAACGCCTCAGGCATTTGGAGGCCCACACATATCCCAGCCATTTCTTTGTGGCTGAATGGCCTCCAGGTATAGGCACAGGCCTGACTCCCCTAGGGGCTCATTGGTCAACAGGGGCTTCATTTCTCTGTATTGCATTCCTGGGTGCTGGGCACATCTGATTCCATGAACATCTTAGTGAGCAGTGCCGGATAGCCTGGGCTTGGGAAGACTCCTGGGCTAATGAAAGACTCTTCTAATCTTGGACGGCTACTGCCAACCTGGGCTCTCTCTAGCATCTTATTCTGTCCATGCTGTGTGCAAACCCTGGCTTCTCTAGCCGCTCCAGCATGGCAACTTAGCAAGGCTTGGAGCATTGCCAGTGTGCTGGACACAGTGTGTTTTCTTCCTAGTTTCCACATCTCCTGAACCTTTTGTTTAAAAACAATGAGGGATGATTATCATTTACTGAAGAGAACGCTCAGCTTGTATGATCCACGCTAATTGAAACCAATTGTAGTGACTTTTTAAAATCATCTTGAGTTTTCTTGGTCAGTAATAATATCTACTTTAAACAGGGCTATTGTTCTTTCCCATGTAATAATTAAACTAGATAATAGTAATAAGGGTGGGCATTCTTTCTCATTCTGACTCTTAATGAAGATGCATAGGATTTTGCCAATCCTTGTGGTGCTTTGAGCTAGGAATGCCAGCCTCAGGGTGGTCTCTGTAAGTTAGTGTTGACATTTTTTTTGGTGGGGGATGATAACTGGATGTTGTATTTTAAGAAATACTTTCAATCAAGATGATCTGCGAAGGGACTTTTGCCTCTGCTGTCCTTGGGTATCTCAGGGTCTCTGTCCTTACAGTGTCGTGGGTGCCATTCCGTTATATAGGTTGAGATTGTAGGCTAAGTTTGGTGTAACTGGGAAGTTGGGGATTCTTGGCAAATAGACTTTCTCATGGTCTTTCGCTGCCGTTGTGTTGTTATTTTGCTTTTCTGGTTGCCCACTCTTGATCGTTATGTCAAGAGACAATAGCTTTCTCGTGGCCCCTGCCGGTTTTACCTGCACCCGTTGACATTTCCGGTTGTGGCTTCTCTAGCTTCTGGCCTGGGATAGATGTGGCAGAAGATGCCCCCGGGACCCTTGTCACACACAGTTCCTCTTTGAGTCCCGGGGTTTTGAAAGCCTGCTCTCCTTTTCCACCTCCCATAGCGCCTGTGTTTATTGTCTGTGTTGTCTGTGTTTTGTTGGAACACGGAGGGGTCTCTTTATCCCGTCCTTTCTGCGGCTGCGCTGTAGTGTATTCTAATAGTCTATCCTCTGCTGGGGCATGGGAAGCATCAGAGTCCCTGCTATGAGTCCTTGGCTGTGAGACCACAACAGGTGCCTTCAGATGACACTGTTTTCCTTTCCACAACCCGGGCCCTTCCTGCACCTGTCATGTGATGTACAGAAGAGGATCACGCCCTGGTCCTTTCAGCCCAGGCTTCCTGTCACTTCTCACCATTCCTCCCCCAAAGACAAAGGCTAGCTGCCTTTGTAGCAAACTTCTAGGCATCCCTTCCTACATATGTGGACTTGTGAGTGAAGGTGGTTATCCTATCCAAGTCTCATTCCTGTGTCTGTGAGCTAGTGGGTGCAGGTGGCTGCTTGTCCTGCATTTTTGTCGTTGAATCCATGGTCCTCTCCTCACTGATATCAAACAGACATTCTGTGATTTGCAGTAGGGACCTGGGAACTTGAATACTGGGTGTTAGGGCACCACCCTTTCCAACTCTGGCCAGCAGGGGGCAGCACTACGACAGCGTCTCACAGTTCTGAACCCAGCAGATAAGGATGGCTGACAACCAAGTGCACATGGGTGCTTTTGTCCAACAAGTGGAACATCTGATGCCTTTTTCTCTATTTCCATGGCGACTGCAGCGGAGGGCATTGAGGACAGCCTCGGAGAAGCTCAGAAACCGTTCGTCTTTCTCTACCAACGTGGTCTACACCACTCCGGGCACACGTGTCAACAGGTACATTAGCCGTCTTCTTGAAGCCCGCCAGACAGAGCTGGAGATGGCAGATCTGAACTTCTTCACCCTGAAGTACAAACACGCTGAACGAGAGCAAAAAGTGAGTGACTTGGCGCTTCCTGCATCCCTGTCCCTGAGGAGTTTGTGTCTTCCAGCTGGGTTGATCACTCTCTTGCTCTCCCTCTCTCCCTCCTTGACCCGTGTTCCTTCTCCCATCTCCCTCCCCCTCCCCCACAGTACCACCAGCTTCAGGATGAGTACTTCACCAGCGCCGTTGTCCTCGCCCTCATCCTGGCCGCCTTATTTGGGCTTGTCTACCTTCTGATAATTCCACAGTAAGTGTTGCTCCCATGCTTATCAGTGGTGTGGGAAGGTGACCAAGAGTTCCGAGTCTCTGCCGGTACTGGTTATGTTTCTTGTTTGTGTGACTGAATAGCTGAGGAGAAGCAATTGAAGGGAAGAAGGGCTGATTTGGGCTCACGTGACATCAGGGGAAACCTTCAGCTTGGGTGGTAGGAGCATGAGGCCATTCACTCACGTGAGGATGGATCTCGAAGTGGAGTGTGTGTGACCTGGGGCTCATGCTCCGTGACTCCCTTCTTCCCATCGTGCACCATGTCCTAAAGGTTTGACAACCTACCCAAATAGTGCCACTGTCTAGGGACTAAGTGTTCAAACCCATTTCACTCTGAAACCAAACACTGGGGTTGGACCTGGGGGTCTTTATGTGCTCCAGATGCACTTCCCAGTTATTCTTCTGTTGTGCCTGGCATTTGAGGAGGGCATTGGCCACCTGCCTTTCTTCTTCAGGCGCTCAGGTTGGTACTTTGACAAGCCTGTTGGCATACAACATCCTTACCATTTTTAGTTTTGAAATTACTGAATGCCAAGACTTTGTGTGCGTGTGTGTGTGTGTGTGTGTGTTGCCTCCTCATTGACATGGCATGCACCGTTGTCCTCAGAGGGCCTTCGGAGGAGAACACATGGCCTTTCTGCCTCCTGGGTCCACATCACTTTTAAAGACATTAAAATAAGAAGTAGACTGTGAAAAGGAAGAAAACAGAGCCATTTAAATGACATTTAACCATCCTGTGAGTCAGTGTAAGCTTGGAGCTTTTGTTTGGAGGAAGACACCAGGAAGTTTCTGGTTGTCTGTTTCTTCGGGCACTTGTTTCCCAGGACGACCTACCTTGAGGGCATAATGTCTCCTAAGAGTTTCCAGAAAGCACATAGAAGTTCTCTATACCTGTGAAGGACAGAACACTTCAGCTGTGGCCTGCACAGACAACTGTGAACTTGGCAGTCTCTCGGATGGTTTTGCGAGGGGTTATGTTTTTTTCTAGAAACATCTTTCCCAGACAAGTATCAATAGTACAGCTCCCCGAAGTCAAGTACTTCCTCCAGTAGGAGGAAAGGTCTTCCAGAAAGTCATGTGACCTGAAGCCAAGCATTAACTTTGGGGTGAGGTAGTAAGGATGATGATGGTCTTGGAACCCTCATCCAGAAGCCCCAAGTGTCTTCACTAGGAGAGAACCAGGCGAAGTCAGTCCCCAGGGACATGTGTCAAATGGTTAATGGCAATGCTTCCTCCTGAGATTCTGGGCATTGGGGGCCAGGAAGAGAGGCCCAATTCTGAGGCATTTATCTGATACATTGTACCTGGCCCGGTTCTGCCGTATGTATCTGATACATTGTAACTGGCCCGGTTCTGCCGTATCTATCTGATATACATTGTACCTAGCTCCCACCGACCAGTTACCTCTGTCCTCTGTCTCCAGGAGTGTGGCTGTCCTGCTGCTGCTGGTGTTTTCTATCTGCTTCTTGGTGGCCTGTATCCTGTACCTGCACATCACGCGGGTCCAGGTATGTTTGTGTGTCTTCTACAGGTGTCCAGGTATGTGAGCCTATGTCCAAGATCATGTACCTGAGTATTCTGTGTGTAGTCTCATGGCAGAGCGGTTCTATCCTTCATTCTCTGTGGCAAGTAGAAGACATCTGTCCACATGGCAGGCGCTGGTTGAGTCCAGTGTACTGCGCCTTGTGTCATGTTTTGGGGGCTCCTTCTTGGCCCAGTCAGTGGGTGGTAAATACTAATGAAAAAGGACCTTGAAGTATATATTCCCTTTGCGACTTGGTTGGAGTGCCCAGGGCAGTTCGTTTCTTATATATCCATGCAACTGGTCTAAGGTGGGCGTGGTCCAGACGGGGCTATCTGTGCTGTCACGACTCTGATGCTCAAGTGTAATTTGGACCTTTGGAGCAAAGGCTGAGTATCATACTCTTGCCTCCTCACTTTCCCTTAGAGGTCTGTTTCTCTTGGCCCTGTGCTCTTGTCTCATAGGCTCAGCTTATTTCCCAGTGCCCCATCTCTAACACGCCCCTACTGGGGATGTCAGACCTGGGCTTACTTTTGTATAATTGTCGAAAATTGCAACCCCTTGAGAGGATTTAGTCTGATTTCACTCATTTAACTCCATCATTATTCCCAGGTACATCTTTGGTTTCTTTTTCTAATTTAAAAGATACTCTATATTAAGACCACATTTACAGCTTGTTGGCTTCCATAGGTTGAGTGACGTTTAGTTTAAAATTTCCAGCTTCAGATAATATTGCCTTTGTCGTAGAGTTTCAATGAAAGCATGACATCGGGATGGTAATTTCTAAAGCTGTCATTTTGTCTGCATCGATGGGAGCCAGTGTGTCAACCTGGTGGTGTGCAAATAGCACAATACGTGCAAACAGCACAATACATGCAAAAAGTGTGAAGATGTGTGTGTGTGTGTGTGTGTGTGTTGGGGATTGGACATAGTAGCTCACAGTGTAGCTGAGAAACACAGAGACCCTGGAGCCCCACCCAGCATCTCATCAGGGGACTCCGGTTCCCCGGGGAAGAGCCACACCATTCTTCATGACCTAGCATCTCATTGGGGGACTCCAGGACCCCTAGGCAGAGTCACACAATTCTTCATGACCTAGCATTTCATCAGGGGACCCCAGTTCCCCCCGGTAGAGTTACTGACCTAGCATCTTGCCCATAAAACTAATATTCAAGTCCAAATACCACCTGGCTGTGTAAAACGCATGTTCTGTGTGATCAAATTGTGACGGCCTCCCCCAAACCACCCCCTGTGAAAACACAGCTGCCCTCCTGGGTGGCGACTCAGGCCAGAATAACTCCTGGATATTAACAGCCAGGTCAGCTGGCCCCCGCTGCTCACCCCCAGCCTCACCGAAGAGCAGCATGGAAGATTTCCTAAACTGGTGTTTTTGAAGCAGCAGCTCCCATTGCTTCAGGGGCTTCTCTGGTGCCCAGATTCATGCGGGCCAACACCTGGGAAGCAGAGAGGAACCTGCACTCCACTGGAACAGAGGCAGGTGGGACTCAGCTCCCAGGAGGGTGCCCCAGGTCAGGGTTGATGAACTAAGGCGTCACATGGTGACTGGTATCCACCAGGCTGTGTTGAACTCCGTGCTTCGGTTTAGGGCTGATTAGGTTTGGTGGAGGCTGTGGGAATAGATGGTGTGGTAGGGGCTTGGGGGTGGAACAGTGGGCAGGTCAGCAGATGGGAAGTCAAGCCAAGCAGGAGAGAATCCAGCATGGCCAGCCACACAGGTGGGACTATGGACAGCTGCCAGGATGTATCTCCAAGGAGACTATGGCTTTGATAGTGTAGCTATGCTTTCCTCCGCGGTCCCTGGGGACAGTTGCATTGGTCCCCGTTCCTAAAGACGACTCCCTTCCTTCCTTATTTCATCGAGAACATTGAGAGAATTAACACTGAGCATGAGCCAGAAAGGACTGGAGGGAGAACTCAGGGATGCTTCAAGCCAGGTGACTATTTCATTTTGCATGGTCTCTCTGCCACTTCGTGCTAGTATTGGTCCAATGCTGGCTTCCCTTGGGGGGACCAAAATATGACAGCAGTTTCATCTTTTTCTCTACTAGATAGGAGCATGCATCTAGAACAGGGGACTCTGCCCTCCACGTCATTCAAAAGATCCATTCGCCTCCTGCTTGGGGCGTCAGCCTCGACTGGTTGCACTCAGAGGGGCGGAACACGGGAGGCATGGATATCCGTCAGCACAGGGAGTTTCTTTGTAGGACGGGGCTGCTGTCAGCCTCTGGAGTTTAAAGTTTGCAGACCCAGGAGAGAGAAAGCAAGGACATCTCTTCTGGTCTGCTTGTTCCTCCTGCTGAAGTCCTTCCCAAAGAAAGGGAATCAGCATGAAGAGGCAGCGGGACTCCAGTGTTTGCTGACACACAATCGGCAATAGCCAAGCATCCCTGATTGGTGAACAGCAGGTCAAAACCATCTGAGTTTCCTGTTGCTTCCTGACATAGCCGCAGCCATCAGACACACATAATCTCATCTGTTTGTGAGCTCCTGGCTCTAGAGAGTGTAGTCCATGCATGTCTTTTGATATCTAAGATATCAAGTCATGGCTTCTCAAAAGGCCATGGGGAATGACTGGTTCCTGGTCCATTATGGTTGGTAGAATTCAGTTCTGGGCAATTGTGAGACTCACCATTTCCTGACAGATTGCTGCAGCACAAGCCTCCTCCAGACTCTCAGTGGCACAGGGAACCTCACTATCATTCCCCTTCATTTTCCCTCTTTCCACCATCTAGGAAAAAAACGTTCCGGCAAAAAGCTCTGCTTTTCTTTCTTCCCATTACGTTTTTTATTTTTAATTAAAAAATGGTAATCAAATGTATGCATTGGATACAATATGATGTTATACATTATGTTGCAAACTGATTGTCGCTTGTTTGTTTTTGTAGTAAGATCATTTAAAGTCAACTCCTAGAAGTTTTGAAGCATGCACTATGTTGCCATTCACTGTAGCTCTCCACTGTGCAGTCTTTCTCACAACCTCGCTCTTCCCAGCTCACTGAAATTTTGCAGCATTTTCCCATGAGCTCCTTACAGGATCTTCTGGCATCTACCGTTCTTCACTCCCCTTCTGTGAATTTGAGTCTTAGATTCCACACCTCAGTGAGACCATACGGTGTATTTCTGCACCGGATTTACTTTATTTAACGTAACTCCCTCCAGGGTTATCAAGGTTTGGTACAGACTGAAGGGTTTACTTCTTTTCTGGGGCTGAGTAGTACTCCGCTCTTTGTCTGTTCGTTGGTCAGCAGGGTACCTTCGGTTAGGCTGGTCCCATCTTGGCTACTGTGAGCAGTGCTGAAGTGACCGTGGCACAGGGGAGCACAGCTGTCTCTTCACTTCTTTTCTGAGAGATGATCTTCCGTATCCCAGAGAGATCTCAGACTCGCTATGTAATCAGGGAAATTCTGAAACTCCCCCTTCTACCCTCCTGAGTGCTGGGATTACAGGGGCATGCCCCGCATCTTGTCATGTGTAGTTCCCAAGGCGGAACTCAGGAGTTTGTGTCTCCTAGGCAAACACCCTTCTAGCTACATGGCCCGTCTTCTCTTCTTCATATTGATTTCTTTCTTTTGGATGTATAGCCGGCAGGAGGATTACTGGATCACATGGAAATTCTGTTCTTAGTTTGATGACAGACCTCCATTCTGTTTTCCATAATGGTTGTGCTAATGTACATCCATCCCCTACAATTATCAGTTGTTTGATAAGTCACTCCAGCCGGGCCATGGGCATTTCTTTTTGGTTTTAGTTTGTATGTCTCCAATGGTTTGTGACGAATGTTGGCCATGGATCAGTATCGGACTTTTCTGTATTGACTTGCGAAGTATATATTAAATCCTTTATCTGCTTAAAAATGGATTTTTTCATTTGCTTGCTATTGAATTGCCTGTATTCCATATATATTTTGAATATTTATCCCCTCATTACTTGTATGTTTTACAAATAATGTATCCCAATCTGTGAGTTATTTATTAATTATCATAGATGCCAAAACTCTGTGGCATTGGCCCAGCTTGTTTCTTTGGATGTAGCTCCAGAAGCATGGGGCTGGGGAGAAAGGGCAATGGGGTTGCCGCCAGCTAAAGAGCTTTGGAGCGGCAAAAAAAAAAAAAAAAAGTCATGTGATCAGATTAGATGCATGAATTACTCCCATCTGAATGATGTGTTAAAAACCTTCTGCAGGGCTGTAATGTCATGTGATTCCAGCCGTAGGTACTCATAGTCTTTGGTACAAGAACAGGGGTGAGAAACCTCAGGGGCTGTTAAGAACCATTGTCTATACCAAGTATGCGAAACAAATGCCCATTTAGTTAGATTATTATTTTTCTGTAGTTTGTAACCTGAATAGAAGTTTTGGCAGTCTAACAAACATTTCTGAGGGTTATTGGAGACTCCTAGTCTTGCCTGTTAATTTCTGAAGTTACTCTGAATGATTTCTGCATATATGGCCATCCTTCTGGTTCTGGACTAGCATGGCCAGATACACTATTTGTATGAGTTGCCAGTTTTGAGTATTTAGAGAGTTCTGGAAAACCTGGACCCCTGCTTACAAGATACTGTCACCTCCCTGGCACTGTGAGAAAGTTTCCAGAAGGTCGTTAAACTGTTCCGTGCAGTCTGCTGCATTCTGAAGCTCCTGTAAGACTCATGAATGGTGCCCATTGTTATGCCTAGGCTGTGCAGAAGCTGGAGCCAGGCTGGCCCTGGTGAATGAAAGTCTGTGTTGCTGAGTCTTGAGTTCAGTGTTGTTGAGTACACCATGTCCATTTGGTGACGAGGTGCTGTCGTATGCAGCCACTTCTGCCAGAAAACACCCAGTTCATGATAGGCAGCTCAGGGCTTGTGGTAATCAGACAATTCCATTTCTACCAAGTCCCAGTGATACCATTGTCAGGGGCTGGGGCAGATGTTTTCAGGTTCTAGGCTTACCCAAAGAATTGAAAGTAAGAGTTTGCACAGGTTTGCAAAGGAACCAAGATAATTTTATTGGAGCAAGTCCATAGTTTAAATTAAAAAGGGGGTACACTCTCCGGTGGGCCACATGAGTGAGTTCTCAATGCTTCCTTACATGGGGTTCGAGAGAAGGAGAGATTTGGTTACTAAGGATGTAAAGTGGGCAGTTCTCTGTTTTGGTTGATAGATTAGCTCATATATCTACTTTTTCTACTGAGAACATCCCTTTTTACAATACATCTGATTTTAATCATATGCATGCTCAATTATACATAGGCATACAATGGTAAATATGTTATTTTCCCGGGAAGTTTACTGGAGAACATAGGTTGCCTTATACATGCAGAATACTAAAATCTCCCCTCTGCTGGCCTGCCTTCATAGCAGCAGGCAAAGAGCTCTTCTTAGGAGTCATTACCTGTACAGCATGGCAGGACCTTGCTCCAAGGTCTTGCTCCTGGGTCCGTGTGGACCACAGACTGGGATCTGTCTGTCCCTCTGCATGAACCATACCAAGCTAAGCTGTGACAGCAGCTGGGGACATTCTCTGATGATTAGGGTCTTGCAGCTGTGCCTTCCCCAGTGGCAGAGATCAGATCAAGAGGGAAACAGAGAGAGAGGCAAGATCAGAAGAACCCTTAGGCTTCATACCAAATGGTGCCTCTTCTGTCTGAGGTCAGCTAGACTGACCAGGGTTCTTATGAAACACTCTAGGGTCTGGACTTGGAAACCCAAACCAAAGCTCTGCCAGCTACATATGCTACCCACACCAGACTGTCCTGACCCCAGAATCTATGGTCCTGGGCTTGTTTTATTGGTGGCCGTTGCCTCCCAGTTTTTAAATAAGAAAAGTCACACTCCCAGCCTCGTGGGAAGGATGACAGAAACAGCTATGTGTGTTGCCATGGAGTCCCGCAGACCCAGGCTCTGTCTGCATATGTTACTCTCCATAAGGGGCAGTGGGCGCCATTGTAATCTATACTCTTGTTTTTAGGACTGTGAGAATAAAGAACCTCCTGCTTCATCCTTGATAGCATCTGTTAATTATTTCACACCGTATTCAAAGTAAATAAATAGATTAAAAATAAAAATTCTAGTAACTGAAGAATTATATTAAGCCTGTCTGTGATGATAAACTTTGAGAACATGAGAGAGACAGACAGACAGAGACTGAGAGACAGAGATGGGGGAGAGAGAGAGATAGATAGTAGAGAGAGGGAGGGAGGAGTGTATGGAACTCCTGAGGTAGGAGAATGCATTATAATAAAAATACCCAGTGCTTCTACTCAGTTAACTTTGGTGCCAGTCAGGGTGCCTGGGAGAGAAAGATGGCTGTTTCTCCTTTAAATACTGTGGGCATATGTGTCTCTGTGTGTCTGCGTTATGAATTATTTTTGGCAGGTTCTTCACGTGGGAGATAATAAATAGATAAAAGTAATCAAGACCATTGCATAGCAGATGGAGGTCTAGTAAGCCCCTGGAGCCGGCAAAGGGCTCCACACCTGGCCTCCTTTGGCGGACTCACTGTGAACAACAAGTACCTTCACACTCAGTGTACTTTTAAAGCTCTCCCCCTTTCCTTCTCTCCTGGGTCACTGGGGTTACCTCCCAGAGCCTTACATGCGAGGCAACACTCTACCACTGAGCTGCCGCACCCCTAACCCTAAAATGAGGTTTTCTTCTTCAGTGTTTTCCAGGGTGCCTGACGATCCAGATCCGCACTGTTTTGTGTGTATTCATAGTGGTCTTAATCTACTCAGTAGCCCTAGGATGTGTGGTGAGTATCACTAACTTTGGCGTGCTCAGGGGCAGGAGCAACAGGTTGGAGAAGCTGAGCCGGGACCTAGGAGTCATAGCGGGGGCGGTAGGAGTAGAGGGAGCTGCAACACAGGATAGAGTTGTTTGGCTTGGAGACCCAGCAGGGGCTGGTACTACCTGGTCCACCTTGCTCACCTCCAGCCTTTTCTATAGACACTGGGAGGCTACAGCAGCGGAGGCAGTTTGAGGCCTGGTTGTGGAAGCAGAGGTTGGGGAGAGGCTATTGTAGAAGGCTGGTGGGGGATTGGTGAGGCCAGATACTGGGCCTCCCTAAGCCTTCGCGCCCTTGCTCCCCAGGTGGGCTGCCTGCCCTGGGCCTGGAGCTCCCAGTCCAACAGCTCCCTAGTGGTCCTTGCAGCTGGCGGCCGGCGCACTGTGCTGCCTGCCCTGCCCTGTGAGTCTGCGCACCATGCCCTGCTCTGCTGCCTGGTGGGCACCCTCCCACTAGCCATATTCCTGCGGGTGTCCTCCTTGCCAAAGATGATCCTGCTGTCCGGGCTGACAACATCCTACATCCTTGTTCTGGAGCTCAGTGGATACACCAAGGTTGGGTGAGTGTGACGCCCCGAGGGAAAACTCTAGACAGGGTGATGTTAGTTATCATTCTCCTCTGATAATAATTTGCATGAATCGCTATTATTCTTAATCATCGCCTCAATTACTAACTCTATAGTCATAGTACTCTCTCCCTCTCTAACACACACACACACACACACACACACACACACACACACACGCTTGTGCATGCGCACCAACTAGCAAGCCAAAGTGAACCAAATATATACAATTTTTTTTTTTTAGGTTAGTGGCTTTTCTATTTCTCTTCTTTAGTCTAGACTCTAGCGAAGCCTCTAACTTTTGGCTGAGATGAGAATCATCAGGCCTGGGGTCAGGCCCACGAGCCTTAGGCCTCGCTATGCATAGATGGCTCTCTGCCCAGACCTAGGCTTTGATGGCCATATATTGCCTGGAAACCGACACTAATGGGGTTTCTTCTCCACCTTTCCAGGGGTGGTGCTCTCTCCGGGCGTAGCTATGAGCCAATCATGGCTATCTTGCTATTCTCATGCACACTGGCCCTGCATGCCAGGCAAGTGGATGTCAGGCTACGGCTGGACTACCTCTGGGCAGCACAGGTAAGTTGAGCCCTCTGTCTCCTGGGGCATGAGATGGCCATGCGGAAAGTAGCAAAAACACTCATTGGCCATGTGGCCCGCCAGAGATCTCACTTGATAGTGCAGAAGAGCTGTTCAGGGACTTACTCAGGTCTGTCCTAGAGGCTTGAGTTCTAGGATTGACGCCTATGGGATGACTGTAGAGATGGCTGCAGGATGCATGGGCTGGGGACAGAAGTCAGAGTGACTGTTATCTTAGGGCCTGGCTATGACCAGGACCCCATCAGGGTCCCTTTTAAAATTAAACATGCCAAACCTTGCTCCACTCACCCTGGACTTAGTAATTCTCAGGGTGTTTCTGACGGGAGAGGCGGGAGGGACTCTTGTGGTGGCATCAGCGAGTAGCCGTGTGAGTTGGTCTTGGACCCTGATTATCTGGGCGCCAGGCAGCTTGCCATGTTTCCTGTACTGAGCTTTCCATCCAAGTGTGAGGAAAGTGTTAGCTGAGGGTGCTTATTCGAACCCGGGTTCACAAAACCACTCTGGGGCATGGTGAGGTTTCCCAGTGACCGTGGCTGGGCAGAGTGGGGCTGCCTGGTGCTGGGGTGCGTGCGCATCTCCCCCTCCCCCGCTGGCTGCGCATTCCCCAGGCACTTGAGAATTGGGGTAGTTGAGCAGCTTGCCCAGGCTTGGCTCCCATCTGCAGAACTTATGGTGGTCTCCCCAGCAGCAAATTGCCTCCTGAGCCTTCCTTACCTGAAAAGGAGGGGTGAAGGCTAGTGAACCTGAGCCTCGGCAACAGCGATTCTTCTGATTCGGATGCACGCGGGACAGCCCTTTGCCATTAGTTTCCTTAGTTATAAGAGCAGCCCTGCCCAGGAAATAAAATGACGCGTGAGCAAACAGGGTCCACAGAGGGACCTGCGGGTGTCGGACAGTGGCCAGGCTGGAGTAAGCCGCGGAGCCAGGCTATCGCTGTGGTCTGTATGATAATCTGGTCAGGCTCTGAGCCCTTGTGGGCAGTGCGTGAGGCCAAGCAGGAATGTCTTCAGCCCAGGGCCTCTACTGTGCAGCCTGACTGCAGGGTCCCAGCTCAGAGCTGGGGCTCAGATGCCAGATAGTCGAGGACAGTTGGGAGGAGCCAGTGACTGTGGTAAGGAGGGCCCCTGTGGACACAGGAGTCTTGAGGAAGGACAGGTGTCTGTGGTTGTGAGACCAGCTCTGACACACTTGGTGGAATGGGAAATCCTGTTGATTTGAGCCTTTTCCCGGGGCTGAGTTGAGCAGCAGCCTGGACGGTGGAAGGGCAGAGACGGGGCAGAAGCAGCAGGAATGGCAAGAGCTGGGCGTGGCATCAAGAAGTCCCAGTTGCAGATTCCAACGGCTTCATGTAGTGCCAGTACGGTCAGATTCTCCTCCTACCAGCAGTAAGGCGGGGTGAGAGCCCATAAAATGGAGTGCTGTTCGCCTTCTTGGCACCCTGTCCCCACGTCTGGCATGATGAAGCCTGCCATGTTCTCCCAGCTTGATTGTGCAGATGGCTCTGTCCTTGGGCTGCGGGTCATGGATCCTGTTGGGTGGCCAGTTCTTGCAGCTCTTACCATTGACCCGCCTCAAGCGGAAGCAGGAACTAAGGAGTTTATTGGTTCATAGCGTCCAGGCTGGGGGGTGCCCCTGATGACGGCATTCGCAAGCTCTTGGCAAGGAACCCTGGTCAGTTGCATTTTGCCCGAGTCACACCAGGTAATGGGAAGAGCCTCTATGGCAGCTGGTATCGATTGTGGTCTCTGTTGAACTCAACTGTCTGTCCGGCGTAACCCAGCTGGCTGCCCGCTCTGGCCTGCTCTGGTCCACTGACTCTGCCTGCCATCAGCCAGATACTTGGGTTTCAGATCTCATAGTGAATATTTACTAGAGAAAAATGCACGCGGGATGAGATTGGAAGGCCAGGATACTTGGCACAACGAGGTGGGGGTCTAGAAGGCTGTTTACTAGGGAGGACATCCAGTTGTTCTGCAGTCTAAGCAAGGGAAAATGGGGCCTGGCTGTGAATTCCTTCTCAGGGGGCGATCACATCACCCCTTAGGTGGACATTTTTGTTTCTTGTGTGGATTGACATGGCCTTTTCTTGGCTTTCATTATTAAGCCACCATATTTGTTATTAAATGTAGTATTTAAATGTTATTAAATCATGTGGTTCTCCATCTAGCCACACCTACCCCCACCCATTCTGTATAGGTTTTCAGGAAGTGTGGGGCACAGATGTGTTCCCTTGAATGCGTTCCTCATGCATGCGTGTCATGATGGCAGGGCTGTTAAATGGAACATACCGACACATTTTTTTTTTCATAGACAGGTAACAAGAAACATCCCTTTGCTTTCCCGTAACCCCAGCAAAACATGGAACTTTCGGGACTTTGTCTGTTTGCCCTCTGGATATTTAGTCAGGTTGTAGAGACGTGAGAGGACCTCAAACTCTTGCCTCATTGTCCGGACAAACACTAGCTGGGTTAATTATTTTTGGATACCACGTTGGCCATACAACCCTACATAAATAAACAGGTTTCACTTTGCCCTTGGGGAAATTCTTTGGCTCTTCACCTTTAACTATTGGCATTACTCCATTTCAACATTATTTTCTTCTTTGGTTTTTTTGAGACAGGGTTTCTCTGTGTAGCCCTGGCTGTCCTTGGAACTCGCTCTGTAGACCAGACTGGCCTCGAACTCAGAAACCCGCCTGCCTCTGCCTCCTGAGTGGTGGGATTAAAGTTGTGCTTCATCATGCCCAGTAACTAATATTATTTTCATTGAATTAGTAGACATAATCCTTATGGCAAACATAATTCTAATGTTTATGTTCATTTGTATGGATGCTTTTAGCTTGCTTACCAGTAAATGGTTAATCTCGGGCGAATCCCCATCCTGTTGAAGCCATCACCAATCTGAGGAGGGTTGCCTGTGAACTGCATTCCCATCAGTAGAACTAGATCAGACCCTGTTGCCTTTCTTCCTTCACCCCACAGGTTCTTGACGGTGCTTTCTTTTCTGCACATATATGGCAGTAGCAGGGACTTTACATGTATGGAACTTAGGGTCCTTTTCCTGGGACTCTGAAATGCTATAGGACGTATCTTCCTTCTCCTCTGGTTGGCACTGTGAGTGGGCACATGGAGCCAGACGATTCCCAGTTATCTCACACTCGGCCCCACCTCTTCAAACTTTCTCACCTGTATTACTAAGCTGTAATTGATGTATGTGTTTGGGGGCAGTGAGCATGCCACAGCTCAAATATGGAGCCCAGAGGACAGCTTCGGGGAGTTGATTCTCTTTTTCCATCTTTTCGCTGGCTCTTCTGCCAGCCATCTACAGCAAGCACCTTCCTGCTGAACCATCCCACCGGCCCATCCTTCACTCCTGATTGTTCCTACCACCTCTCAACACCACCACACTGAGGACTGAGTTGTATGCCCCCTCAATACACACATAACACCACACTTAGGACTGAATTGTCGGCCCCTCAATACACACATAAACATACAAACCCTGGGAACAAACCACATGAGTAGGGAAGTCTTCCATTTGTCGTAGTTTTCTGGGAGACTTCGGTAGAATTAGAGTTGTTTCTTCCATAAATGTTAGGGGGAATGAAATGAAGCCTCTGAACTGGATGGTTTATCTGCTGCCGAATGAGGAGATGTTAAAGTAAAATTCAAGTTCCCCCAAACCACGAGGCCCCCTAGGCCTCCCATTCCTATTGCTTGCTGTGGTGGCTTTGGGAATTCAGTCCTTCCCTGACATCTGCTCTTTGTTGACTTAGAATTGGCCACAGCAGCCCTTGTTGTTCCTTTCATATTTGTGGAGCCTGATTGTATTATTTAATTTCTTGTGATTGGTCACAACTGAATTTATTGTTGTCTTAGTGCCATTTGGCGGTGACTTGAGAGGGGCTTGTCCTTTCTGGAGTAAGCGCTCTGCTTGCTCGGTGTTGTAGACCCCGAGCGTGGTTTTAATGGTTCTGGGAGTGCTGGCGTGTGGGGTGACTTCATCTTTGTTTGCTCCAGAGTATTCTCGGATTTTCCTCTTCATTTCCCCACCCAAAGAGGAGGAGTGTGTACTTTGATCTGGAAGATTCTACAAAGATCTTGTAGTTAGTAACTTCAAAATTAATTTTCCTGTAGTTGGAGGACTCTCATGACTTGAAGCCTGTTAACTTCATTGAGGTTTGCTACACGGTCCATGGTCTGTGTGTTCCTATATAACACGGATTTCCTGTAGCTGTTCAATGATGTTTTGTAAGACTTTTCATGGAAACAGCTTCAGAACAGAAATGAGAGTTCATCAGAACATGATTTAATCCTACATTTCAGAACCCTATTCTCAGAAAAAAAAAAATAAAACAAAACAGAAACCCTCCGGTTTGTATAGAATAGCTAGAAAGAATATGATCATGGCCACTACTGATCAAGTTCTTTGAACCCAGTATTTGGCTAGTCAGGGCAGATTGTGCTGCAGTAGCTACCATGCCCAGCGTGTCAGTAGCATTGACTAGCCGAGCTTCATTCTTCTTCCTGCTACACACATGTTTATGCAGGTTAGCCGTGGGTTACACTATCACGGTCCTCCAGACAACAGGCTGGACACAGCAGCCGAGAGTCCACCTTGATCCCCCTTCTTTAAGGGAGGCACGTCCATCTGTCACTGGCGACTGGAAGTCAGTGGAGAATATTAAGAACGTCTACCTCAGAATATTCAGAGGATGGAGAATCTTGGAGTCTGTTGTGGGCAGGAGGGCTCACATTGCTCCCAGGCTCCTCTATTACATGAACAGGAGATATATAGGGTCCGCAATTCCAGCCCAGTCTGCTTGGCCTGAGCCACCCTGATCTAAGAGGCAGAGACACCATGGAGTGTTGGAGGCCCTGTCTGATCATCATTACACTGTGATCTTTACGTGTGCAGAAGGTGTGTGTTTTACAGTGTGCTCTAGTTTATGTGGCAGTTATCAAACAAAGGATTGTTCCTATGATCTTTTAGATGAGGTCCGGTGGTGGTACCACCCACCATACCCTGGGCCCTTCCCATCAATCACCAATTAAGAAAATGCCCTATAGCTGAATCTTACGGAGGTGTTTTCTAATTGAGGCTCCCTCCTTTCAGATGACTTCAGCTTGTATCAAGTTTACATAAAATTAGCCTGCACACTGTACATGGATAGTTCATTTCCCTCTCTGGGCTTGCTCCAGAAGAGATGGCTTCTAGAGCTAGGGGTGTCTCCAAAGAAACAGACTAGATGATTCAAGAAAGAGGACATCCAGAAGCGCCTTTGCAGCGATGATATGAAAATCAAGTAATGTGCTGTCCTGATATGAAAGAATGAAGTGAGCCGGACGGTGGTGGCACACGCCTTTGATCCTAGCACTCGGGAGGCAGAGCTAGGCAGATCTCTGTGAGTTCGAGGCCAGCCTGGTCTACAAGAGCTAGTTTCTAGGACAGGCTCTAAAGTTACAGAGAAACCCTGTCTTGAAACAAACAAACAACCAAACAAATAAACAAACAAAAAAAGTATGAAGTGGTGGCCATGCTCCGGATGGGTGTCTTTGACCCTGGCAGGAATCACAGGGAGGGTGGGGCATTCGTGCAGGCTCTTGGTTGTGAGGAACACACTGTTTATTTCTGGCACTACGCTGGGGGTTGCTGGTGTTCTCTGACTGAGAATGTTCTGTCAGGGTGTTGGGTGAGAGTCACCCGTACACACGTCAGAGTCCCAGGGAGGGCCAGGTCAGGACATTAGTTGTCTCGCTTTGTACTTTATCTAAACTTACAAGCACACAGCTCTGACCTTGGAAGTGCTTCGTCACGGTTGGTAGATGTGCCAGGCCAATCCGCTCTAAAATGTAGCACACAGGAGAAAGGGAACGCCTTTTGAAGAAGTGCTGAGAGCACATTTTGGAAACAGTTCAGTGTGTTTCTCACGCGACCTTACAAGAATAATGTGTGTCACTCAGTAACCTATTCCTTAAAAAAAAAAAAAAAAAAAAAAAAAAAAAAAAAAAAAAAAAAAAAAAATCTGAGTTTTCTGACTGTTCAGAAAATCTTAAGAGAATTTCAGTGGATTTTCATCTCGTGAAAAATATAACAATTCTGTTTGATTTCTTAAAATTACTGCTCCGAGTAGGATGGACATTTGTCAGTCAGAATTCAACAACAGAAACCTTTTGACCTGTGCACAGAGTAAGACATATGCGAACATAGGAAGAACAAAGACCCTAGCGGTCCCTAAATCCAAATGCTGCTATAAGCAGAGCCCAGAATAAAACCTTTCAGTACAGTGTGCTGAGCCAGGGATAGTTTTCATTTTAGTGCTTTTTTTTTTAAAAAAAATTCTGGTTTTAGTCTTTGGAAGTTTCATATACATGCATAAAGTATATTAATCATAACCATAAAAGGAAATTTAGACTTCCTTTTAAGAACATATATAACACTTTTGTGTGGGGCTGGGTGTAGAGGTGAACACCTTTAATTCCAGAACTTGGGAGGCAGTGGCAGGAGGATCTCTCTGAGTTCAAGGCCATCCTGGTCTACATTGTGAGCTTCAGGTCAGTCAGGATCATATAGAGAGACTCTGTCTCAGAAACAAAACAGCTAATACATGTCTTCTTTCCCATTTCCTATCCACACTTAAACTTTGACTCTTTACCGTTTCCCCATCTCCTGTCATGTTCTGCGGTCACGTCTAATTGAACTTTCCCCTTGGTTGCAGGCCTGTAGGTTTCTGTGTAACTCATTCACCCACCATTTCTTTTGACTACACCTCTGTCAACATTTCATTTCCCCATCTCTTCCCCACCTACATGCTTGACTCTTTCCAACCCCTCTCTGTTTTGATTTTATTTGTCTTTTACTGTCCCCTCTCCCTTAAGGCATGTGCTCCAGAAGTCAGGGATTATTACAGCACATTATTTTTAAGCAAAGAATATTCAATTATTTTGTTTTTTTAATGAAAATATTACTGATAGTAACAATAATTATTTTAGAGAAGATAAACATTGTTGTGCCATTAATACAACCAAGCTATTATTTTTAAAATATATTTTTCCATCTTAATTCTACCCTTTAAAGGCTTTTGTTTGGGGTCCACTGGTACACAGCAAGTAAAATATAATTAGTAATACATTTCCTATGGAGAAGAGGGTGTTTGCAATGTTCTGTTGACAGGAACGGGGGATGAAAAGACTGAGGCCGGAAGTCAGAGGCCACTGACCTTTGAGAGAGACCCAGAATAAGTCACAGAGTCACTCATGGGACACTCGCTGCCATAGAGCCACCCCCCAACAGTGGGTCAGGACAAAAGCATGACCAATCCCCTCGTGTTGTTTTTCTTTCCAGCAGAGGTCATGGACTCTGAGCCCCCTTCAGAATTGCCAGTTACTATGTCCCTCTGTTTGCAGAGTGGGCTCCAGCCTGTCTGGGTGGCGGTGGCCAGTGTCACCTCTGGTTTGATCTGGAGTCTGGGGCCCAGGGCTGTCTTTCTTGTGTTTCCATGCACTGCAGTCTGCCCCTCTCTATTGGGTTATGCTAACTCATTGATCTTGTGTAAAAACAAAAACCAAAACCAATACATATAACTTAGCCCCCCCTTCCCCTGCACTAGGCTTGGCCTTTCACCCTGTGGTCTCTGTGTCCCCATTACAACTCCTTGACTCAAACCTTCCTCTCCTTACTCCTTGAAATCATTAGTTCCTGGCTTGACTGGTAATCTAGATCTCGACAGGAGACCTAGCAACATGTAGCTGGTAAAATCATCTCTAGGGAGAGCAGAGTAGCCCTCCCCAATGCCTTTGGCAAATGCAGCCCTAGGAACCGTAATTTAAAGGTGGATGAAAAGGTGCTGTTGCATGGAGATGTGCCTGTCTTGCCCTGTATATCACTGACTACCACATGGGATTGGCCCATGGATGGCTTCCGTGGCAGGCCCCGAGCGTCAAGGCACCATGGTGGCATTTGTACCGTACCAGGCGTTTGATGTTCATGAATGGAGTAACACACATATTTAAATATGACTATTTCTCAAGCCAAATCCTGTGGAGGGTCAAGTTTTATAGCAGAGATATACAACTTCTGTCTCTGAGAACTGTGGCATACCATAGATTGGCCCGCACTGGTAGCCCCCTTGAGCCTCATGGTGGCCCATGCATGGGACTATCCCTGACACTTTTTCTTATCACTATGGAGCCATAGTTCACGGTAAGCAGGCTCCGACTGGCTGGCAGTCCTTAGTGCCTCATCCCCTGCTTCTGGTTCAGAGACTGTGCACTCACTGGGATGAGCTGGATCCTCAGCAGACCAGATCTCACAGCGTTCTTGTCATAGTGCCAGCAGGATGTGAGCTCTTGTGGAGGCAACACAAGTTCTGGGCGAGGGTAATAATGGCGTCCTGGAGAGATGCCAGCCACTTGGTCCTGAGTCTTCTGGTGAAGGCAGACTAGAGACCTGCTTGGGGCTGGTGCGATCTAGAGTGGGCACATAGGCTCCCAAGAGTTGCTCAAGAGACAGGAATGGGATCTGGGGAACAGACCCTGACAACGGGCGCGCCATTATCAGCCACTGAAAGTTACAATGCCGGGTGGAGAATCCTTCAACCCTGCAGTAAGGCTCTGGTGCTGTGTCTGGTATGAAAGATGAAGAGTGGTCATGTGGATCACGTGTGCATCAAGATTCCTGCATGGGTGATCAGTGAGGTTGGAGTACCAGTCTACCCCTCTAGCCACTCAGGGAATAAGGGAAAAGCTCTTTAATAGTGAGCATCCTGCTCTAACTAATGCACAGAGAAACCAGCTATGAACAGAAACTCTTCACATAATGTTTATATAGACCATAGGCTTCAACACTCCACAGATATACTTTGATCAACTAAACAGAGAGAAAGCTTCAAGTCTGGACAATTAAGACACGTTGGACATTTTACAACAATGATGTTGTCACGGTTACTTCTAATGTAGACCAGCATTGTTCTTTCCCAGCAGTTGTTACCTGGGTCATCCTGTCTGGCAGAATTATGCTAGATCTAACCAAGATCTAGGCATGGTTCTCTGGTATGGACATAGGGTCTAATTGACGGCAATCCTATTGAACAAATCTTAGCAGGCACATATTCCCAGAAAGCGTGAAGTTCAATTATGTTAGACATACACATATCTCCTCCGGTCCCTAACAAGCCTGTTCAGCGTGCTGTTTATCTTCCGGGAAACTAGTGGCAACACTCCTTCAGGTGAAGTCCTCTTTGTGTAACTTACTATTCCCCACGCAAGCTTATTAGTCAATCCTCCGTCGCATCATCTTTCTGGTGTCGGGGTGTCATGGTGGGAGGGTGAGGGCAGCATGCATGGCTGGCATTCATAACCCGTGACCTCCAGGCGGAAGAGGAGCGCGATGACATGGAGAGAGTGAAGCTGGACAACAAGAGGATCCTCTTCAACCTCCTGCCGGCCCACGTGGCGCAGCATTTTCTCATGTCCAATCCCCGGAATATGGTAAGTGGGAGGGCCTTGCGGGGCCTAGCTGGGTGAGATTTTCTTTCCCTCCTCTGCGTGAACTGTTGGGTCAGAGCTCCTCACAGCCTTGCCTGCTGTAGTGACTGCAGCCACCTGCACAGCACAAAGGAGATGCTGACAAAAGCCACGTTCAAAAGGAAAGAAATCGGGGCTGGCTTTTAAAAGGTTCTAAGGATAGGAGCAGGCTGGAGGTTCAACCTTAATCTGCCCTGCCGGAACCAGCAGCTGGTGTCTCTGTGTAGTCAAGTGAGCTTTAGAGCTATGGTCCCCCTTACCTGCTATGCTCTCGCCTCGCTAGGCTCAAGTCCAAAGCCGGCCACTCAGGATTTGCCCGTGCAGTACACGGCACAACCTGGAGCCCCCAGTGTTTCTCCTTATGGCCTGGCTTGTTCCCCCTTTCAAATGCTATTCCTGCTGTCGTAGCATTGCAGGGCTGACCCCTTCTGTCTCTGCAGGACCTTTATTACCAGTCCTACTCCCAGGTGGGCGTCATGTTCGCCTCCATCCCCAACTTCAATGACTTCTATATTGAGCTGGACGGCAACAATATGGGGGTCGAGTGCCTGCGGCTCCTCAACGAAATCATTGCCGACTTTGATGAGGTGAGACCTTGCAACATCATCGACTTGCAGGGCATCAAGGACGATCCTTCTTGTGTCCGCTATGAATCCATTAGGGTCCAGGGCAGCTGTGATGGTTAAGACAGAGCCTATTGACCAGGGCAGGGCAGCGTCCACTCTGGGTGTGCAGGTGGGAATCTCTAGCCCTCTCCCCCACCGGGCACTGTGCTTGCTCCACTGGAGATCCTTTTCCTCCAAGTGACTGTGAGTTTGGAGGCAGGGACATGGATGTATCCTATGCTGCACCTTCTCCCTGTCCCTTTCATACCCCAGAGGAGCTAGCTGCTGTGCCCTATTTGAAGGCCACCTTCTCTGTTGCCCCCTAGTGGATGATGTCTGTAGGACACCTCTCTAGTGTTCTGTGATGTTTAACTGGTTTCTGTTTTAAACAAAGCTCATGGACAAGGACTTTTACAAGGACCTGGAGAAGATCAAGACCATTGGGAGCACCTATATGGCCGCCGTGGGGCTGGCGCCCACAGCAGGAACCAGAGTAAGTAATTCCCTGGCCACTTGCTCGGGCCTGGGCCTAGTTCGTTGTAGATGTTTCTGGCACTCTAGACAGGTCCCCATACTGGGCTTGGTTTCCCTGTGCAACGTTGGGGGAGAAGAGCCTAGGCTATCTTGGCATTGCCTGGTTCTCTCTAGATACCCAACCTTAGGAAAGTCTTAAGCCGTGAGCCCTCCTCCCCACTTCCTCCCTGTGCTCCCACCCGTGGAAGGCTGAAAACTGTAACCCCCATAATGGAACTGTGAAAATGAAGTGGTTCTGCAGCTACCGAGGAGATTGATTCATAATTAACAGTCCCCCGGAGCAGGAGTCAGAGGGCTATTTCACCCCTCAGTTAAGGCATGAAGGAAGCTAGTCGCCGGTAGCCTCTTAGGGAAGGCTTTCTGACCCCTCCCAGGTGACCCCCTCATACCAAAGCTAGACAACGACACCACAAGAAAGGAAGACCACAGATCAGTGTTTATTTCTCACAAATGTAACTGCATAAATTCCTCATCAAACATTAGCAAACACAACCAAATAATAAGTCAAACGAATTCTACACGAGGGCCGTGGATTTATTCCAGGTATATAAGACTGGTTTAACACTCCAAAATCAATTTCTGAAATTTGCACTATCAACATATGATCCTAAAAATTGATGCAACAAAGTCCATTTGCTTCAATACCTGTTCCTGAATAAAAATTGTTAAACTCAGAAAAAAAGAAACTTCTAACTGGACAAACACCATACATAAAAGCTCTACAGTTTAATATTATATCTAATGTGGAAAAACTCCCCAACCCAAGATCAGGAGCATTGCAAGGACATCCCTTCTCACCAGCATCAATATTAGTGTTATCATTAATTTTTAAAGTAAGGATTTTGCTCACTATTCTGGCTGGAACTTGAACCATTATGTAGCCCAAGTTGGCAAAGAATCCCAGTCCCACTTCCTCCAGTTCCTGACTTCTGGGATTGTGTACACCATACTCCACTCTCCCACCACTAATAGTTAGCAGTGTTCTGGAAAATCTAGCTAAGGCCATAAGACAAGAAAAGAAGATAAAGCACATATGGACTTTAAGGGAAGAAAGAAAACTTTCTTTGTGTGCAGATCACATTACACACACACACACACACACACACACACACGCACAACAAATGAAAGAACCAATGGTGGGTGGGTTGGGGGATGGCCAGTATACCACAGAGTTCATATGTAAAAGTCAGTCCTGTGTAGTAGCAAATGACACTCGGTATTTAAAATTACACACATGACACTGTTAATATTAGTGCTAAAATATAATGCTGGGTATAAATATAACATGGCATATACAAGATCTTTATAGGGAAAACTATTCTGTGTCCCTGCACGGGAAGGATGATGACTGTCAAGATATCAGTGGTTATAAATTTGATTAATGAAATTAATCCAGTCTCAATCAAAATTGTATCAGGATAGCTCATAACATGACAAACTGAATTTAAATTTATAGTGAGAAGCAGAAGATCCAGAAGAGCCAAGTCAGTGCTGGAGAAGGAACTAGAAAGCTACAGCAACCATGGCAATGTAGTGTCCTGGGGATGTTTCAGATTGGTCAGTGGAACAGGGCAGAGTGCCCAGAAAGAGACACACGTAGCTACGCTCAGTTGATCTCTATTTTACTATAATAATTGCCTATTAATATGAAAAAATACAACTAAGATAAAGATATTCTGCTTTTCATAAGACTAACTTGAGTCAAGTGATTAACCTAAATGTAAACATTTTTTAAAAAAAAAACTATAAAATTTCTGAACAGTAGCATGGGAGAAAATCTAGACGATCTTGAGTTTGAGATGGTTCTTTTTAGATGGAGCTCCCACAGCATGACCCCTGAAGGAAAAGATTAGAAAAGCCCCTCCTCTGTAAACAGGATTGTTGAGAATGAGCAGTCACTCTGCAGGCTGGGAGAAGATTTGCAAACCACCTGTCTGATAAAGGACTTATATTTAAAATTAAAAAAAATACCCTAAGATTAAGAAATAAAAAAATGCCAACCTAGTTAAAAAGTGGGCAGTCTGGATAGGTGCCTCATCAGTGAAGCCCCACAGAGGCAGGAAACACATGAGAAGATGCCCATAGCCTGTGTTAGAGGGGCATGAGAAGATGCCCATAGCCTGTGTTAGAGGGGCATGAGAAGATGCCCATAGCCTGAGTTAGAGGGGCATGAGAAGATGCCCATAGCCTGAGTTAGAGGGGCATGAAAAGATGCCCATAGCCTGTGTTAGAGGGGCATGAGAAGATGCCCATAGTCTGAGTTAGAGGCAGGAAGCACGTGAGAAGATGCCCATAGCCTGTGTTAGAGACAGGAAGCACGTGAGAAGATGCCCATAGCCTGTGTTAGAGACAGGAAGCACATGAGAAGATGCCCATAGCCTGAGTTCTTAGGGAGGAGATTAGAGCATTGGCCTAGAACTGTACTGACTATTGGAACAGCCAAAATCCAGAACACTGATACCACCAAGAGACGGGAAGGATGACGGACAGCAGGAACTCTTCGCTCCTTAATGGTGGGAATGCAAAATGTTCTAGCCACTGTGGAGACAATTTGGCAGCTCTTTCCAAAGCCAATTAGACTGTTCCCACTGCCCAGACACCCCAACAATTGCAGTCCTTGGTACTTACCCAAATGAGATGCAAACCCACATCCACACGACATCTGTACATAATTAGTTATAACCACTAAAAAACTGGAAGCAAACAAAATTCCCTTCATTAGGCGAATAGATAAAGAATGTCTGACATGTCCATAAAATTAAATACTACTGTCATAAAATAGAAGTGTGCAGGTGGCAAAGAGACACAGTGTGACCTTAAGGTACTTGTGGTCCTGCCTGAAAGAGACATAAATACAGAGACAGAATTCGTGGCTTCTGGGTATGGGGTGGAAGGAGGACTGGCTCAGCAGAGCACAGGGGATGTTGAGGGCAGCTATTGCGTGACACTGGTGGCTGCATGACATTCTACTTTCCTCAAACCTGCAGAGTATACAGTATCAAGAGTGAGCTCTGACATTAACTGTAGCGGTAAGACGGTGGGAATAGGCTAGTAGTGTCTCGCTGACTGTAACAGAGGTGCCGCTGGCTGCTGGGATGCAGGTATTTAGCAACAGCCAGTTGTGTGCAGAGGAGATTACTACAGGGAGACTCTGTCATCTGCTCAGTTGCATATAAACCAAAGTTCTTTGAAAAATAAAGCATGTTCAATGTTGTTTTAAGAACGTTAGTTCCGCCAGACGGTGGTGGTGCACGCCTTTAATCCCAGCACTCAGGAGGTAGAGGCAGGTGGATCTCTGTGAGTTTGAGGCCATCCTGGTCTACAAGAGCTAGTTCCAAGACGACAGGCACCAAAGCTACAGAGAAACCCTGTATTTAAAAAAAAATCAAAGTAAAAAACAAAAAAAGAACGTTAGCTCCCTGATTTTGAGGACAATGAGTCTCCTGGAGAAATACAGATTAAAAACCTTCCTGGCCGTCACTGTCTGACAAATGAAGGGACTTGGTTCACCAATCACATCCACACAGATGACAGTTGCAGCTTCGGTCTCTAGGAAGGGAACCGGTGCCCCTCCCTGACCGACATATGCCTCTGGTCTTTGTTTAGTTTATCTGTAATACGTATTGATAGCACTGCCCAAGTAGGCATCTGGGCACCTGATATCCTGGTCCCAGGAGCTGTTTCCCATACCTCCAGAGGGGCATGATTAGGATGAGTGGTTTCTGCCTGTGTCCATCAGAAGCCATAGTTTGAGCAATATCCTGAGCTTTCTACCCATAGAATAAGAGGATCAATGTGTCCCCAGCCAAATAGCAAGAGTACCTGCTATTTCCAGGAGTGCTGCTTTGTAGGAATTAAATCCCAGTCCCAGGACCTGTCCAGGCAATCCCTGACCCCTCCTGTCTTGGCACTCCGCACACTACTGTTCTCTTTTCACACCCAGGCTAAGAAGTCCATCTCTTCCCACCTGAGCACACTGGCAGACTTTGCCATCGATATGTTTGACGTCCTGGATGAAATCAACTACCAGTCCTACAACGACTTTGTTCTCCGAGTTGGTAGGTGACTCTGGGCTCATCCCTGGCACTGATGGAAGATGCTGGGGGCAGAGTCGGCCTGTGGGATCCCAAGAGATGGGTCTTGCTGGTCAGGGGCACATGGGGACAGCATTGTCTCTGAAGGTGACCTGGGGCAGTGCAGTGCTGCAGAAAGGAGTTTAGGAGTAAGGTTTCATTGTGCAGCCCAAGGGACACAGTAAGCCCCTTCATTCACTGCTGCAGCCATTCAGAGGCACCTCTATATCCTTGGTCACCTGGGGACAGGCTGTCACCGCCCTGGTCGCTGGCTAAGGCTGGCTAAGAGGTTTTGGAGGAAGGCCAGCAGCAGGGCCGGGCAGCTGCTCCTTGTTTGCGACGTGAGAGTCCTTGTTTGATACCCAGGACCTTTTCTCATGTTTACAAAACCCTATTAGAAATTGTGCTTTGGGGGCTGGAGAGATGGCTCAGTAGGTAAGAGCACTGACTGCTTTTCCAGAGGTCCTAGGTTCAATTCCCAGAAACCACATGGTGGCTCACAGCCCCTCTATACTGGGATCTGATGCCCTCTTCTGGCATAAAGTCATACAGACAGACAGAACACTCATATACATAAAATACATAAATCTTAAAATAGATTTTTAAAAAAGAAAAAGAAAATAGAAATTCAGCTTTTACCTAAATGTAGACTGTCAGATCAATTCTTACTCACGTAGAGTCCAGTTGAGTTAGAGGTGGATAATTTCTGTTCTTCCCTTTCTGTCTCTTTGTATCCCATATCCCCCCTTATTCCTGTCTTGTTTGGGATACAGTTAACTGGAGGTTTATGGCCACTCCACTATGCAAACATCCAGTAGCCTTAAACATGGCTTTTTAAGCCATTTGGTTTGTGCTTGGGTGCCAGGGTGATGGGAGGTGAATGGTTTCACAGCAGGTGTTGTGCCGGTGCCCTTAAAAGCAAGCTGTTTCAACATGGTGTCCCCTGAGGACAGGGGCAGAGCAGCCCTGGCCTCTTTCCTAGTGGCCAGTCTCCTCCTGGGCCCCAGGCTCTGATCAATGCCAGTGCTAATGTAACAAGGCACAGACTGGATCTGCTGGAGATTCCTCTGCCCCTGCCCCTGGTGCCTGGGTTGTTTCCATAACGAGATTGGATGCTAGTCCCTTATGGCTCTACTTCCCAGCTGGCTAGTCCCTGCCCTGGTTCCCCTACCTGGCTATGGGTGGCTGAGATTCACAAAGGTAGCTCCTAGAATCCTATCAGCCATTTGCCAAGTGGTCCTCAGGTGTCCTCCCTGGGTTACCCATGAGCCTCCATGTCTGTGACTTCAGAAGAAGTTCAGGAACATTGCTTCACATGCCCAGATAGACAGGCAGGAAGTGGCATCTACGCAGACCCCATTTGCAGGGTCAGCGACCTGTAGGCTGTCATGAGAGTGTGCCAGATGTCCCACTAAGGGTGGACCAGGATAGGATGGCACAGGGCATTTACAGGGAAAGAAACCCATGCAGAGAAGGTGAACACTTTGTCAAAGTTCTCACAAATGGTAACCCAGACTTGAGTGTACCTGGACCAGAGGGGATGCTGAAGAGCTGTCCAGGTCCCTGAGGCCAGTTGGACCCCGACCTGTGGAAGGAAATGGGGTGAAACGGGGTTCATGCCCTCCTCCCTGGACATCTGAATTTGTACTTGGTGCTAGGACCCTCATTCTGAGCAGTATCCTAGGAATCTACAGCTACTTTGGGGGGCAGAGGAGGTGTGCCTGGAGGCAAGGAACACTGTGATCATGAAGGCTATTGAGCTAGAGTTCCTGGTAGCTCCAAGAACAGGACTTTGCACAAGGGACAAAGTGACAGTGACGCAGAAATATGTCCTAGCGAGAATCCACTCCACTCACTCAGGAAAACTAAGATCTTTACTGATAACGTGTCCAGCTCTGGCTAACGCCCAGAGAGCAGCCGGTGATGAACCGAAGACTTTTTCCCTAAGCTATAGAGACTTTGGGCTTGTCATTGTGTGTGTGCTGCCATCCCCCAGTCTCTTCCAGATCCTGGCCCCCAGTTACACTGAGACAGGAGATTGTAAGTCTGGCCATTTGGGCAGATGGGAGCTTTACACAGCAAAGATACTGCCGGAATTCTTCCTTTGTTCTACGCTGGCTCATCTTGCCCACTTGGGGCAGAACTAGGCTTTTCCTGATGAGAGCACAGGGGATTTAAAGGCAGACCAGGGCTTAACCAGGGCTGTGACTCTGCACCCTTGAGCTGCCCTAAATGCTGTTTGATGTGGGGTGGTTGTAGGTCGGGCTGGTCCCCTTTTGCTGTGGGGATGGAGCCTAACTAGAGGTCAGTCTTGGTGACCAACGGTGAACAGAAACTTTCTCGGCAACCCTAAGCTTCAACTGAGGCACCAACACTTCCTTTCTAAGGAGCTAGTTCACACAGTACTCACCTTTCAAGTAAATTTATTAGTAAAGCCTTTTCAGCATTGATCTTACCTCTTCAGGTTTCTCCTGCATCCAGGCCAGTGCTGCTGCAGGTATGGCCACTAATGCCGAGTGGGCTGCCCACTGGGGAGACCTGGGCTGGTTTGATTGGTTCATTCGGGTTGCTGCCACCTGTGTTAGGCTGGAGGCTCCTTTAGAGAGGGACCTGGCTCTATGTGGCCCTCACACTGATACTGAAGGGTGTGTGCCTTCTCTCCAGGAACAGTGGCAGCACACAGGCTGCCCAGTCACACTTTTCCGGCTGCCCACAGGCCATTCTGTGACTGTTTTCCAGGCATCAACGTTGGCCCTGTGGTGGCTGGAGTGATCGGCGCTCGGAGGCCCCAGTACGACATCTGGGGGAACACAGTCAACGTGGCCAGTCGGATGGACAGCACTGGGGTCCAGGGCAGAATCCAGGTAAATCACCCAGAAATCCCAGAGATACAGGGATCCGTCCAGCAAGTGAGGAAATTGAGGCATGAGGGATCCAAGGTGAGCCTTGGGTCAGTGACCAGTAAGTGGCAGGGCAGATTGAGCTGAGTGTCTTGGTGTCTTCTGGGAGCCTGGACAACACTGTTAAAGTTAGCAGATTGCTTTTGCTGTTTGATTTTTTCCACGCTTCCTTTGGGCCACTCCTGAGTGAGCAAATCACAGTGAATCAGGGGTCACTAAGTGACCTGACAGCCTGGCTTCTCAGTTGCTCTTCCTTGTTCAAACCCGTGGTCACACCTGGACTTGGTGGCACATACCTTTAATCCCAGCACTCAGGAGGCAAAGAAAGGTGGGTCTCTGTGAGTTTGAGGCCAGCCTGGTCTACAAAGTGAGTTCCTGGACAGCCAGAGCTTTCTAGTGAGATGCTGTCTCAAAAGCAAAAACCAAATAAGCAAAAATACCAGGGTCACTATTCAGCTGTTGTAGGAGCATAGTGGGGAAGAGATTTCTCTCGTGTTTGGAGAGCAGGATGGTGAACATGCCCATTGCTCCTGAGGCGCTTCTCCCAGATAGGACGAGACTCAGCGGCTCTATCTTCTAAGAGCCACTGAAAGGCGGGCATCTGGTCCTCATTGGTGTGGGGGACGGTCCAGCTTTTGGTATTTGCCCCTAGAATAACACGAGAGCTGTCATTTAGATGTAGTCCTGTGGGTTGCTTGGGACTTAGAGAACTGCAGCCTTCTGGGGTTATTATTCTGGTGCATTTCCCCTGGGTTCAGGACCTGTAGGAACAGGGCATGAACACAGGACAGCTGAGAGATAGTGCAGGTCCCCTACTGTTGCTAGGCTGCTGTCACAGCAGGGGTTTCCGACTCCGTGGTTATTATGGTGTAGTGCCCTACTGGGCGCTGATCCTTCAACTTGCTAGAAAGTCTCCATCATCCCAAAGCACTGTGGGGTACAAGCATGTGCCCCAGTTTCTAGTTCCAGCACCAAGTTCCAGTGCTCCTTAGTGGCTCTGCATTTTTGTATTGATGCCATTTCTTTAATTTTTTTCAGATTTCTTTTATTGTGGTAAAATACACACAAAATGCACTGCCTTCACCATTGACGTGCAAAACTTTGTGCATCCTAATAGTGGTGCAACTACCCCTGCTGTCCTGTCTAGGACATGTGGTCTGTGGTCACCCGGGAGAGTATGCTTACACCCTGCATCGACTTCCCCGGACCAGCCATTCCCAAGGGAGGCTTTCTGCCTTTTGTTACTGTGTAAAATGTCCTGGTGAGAGCAACTCAGTGGAGAAAGGGTTTATCTTAGCTCAGAGCTGTTCTAGTACGGTCTGTCATGGCAGACGTCAGGCCAGTGGGAACTTGCTGGCATTATGCGCTGCAGTCACAAGAGCGATGATGCACGCATGCCGGTGCTTGGAAAGCTTAGCCCAGGCTCCACCCACAATTGAGACAGGTCTTCCCATACCAAAACAGCCCCCTTCCAGGAAGTGCCCAGAGACCCTCTTCCCAAGGGGTTCTAGACTCTGTCCAGTTGACAATGCTAACTAAACACCCCACTACCAGTATCCCTTGGTAACTCGAGGCTCACATACAAACCCCTTTTAAGTTATAAACTTCCACCCCTTGGTCCCATAGGCTCAAGACGATCTTAAAGTCTATTTCAGCCAAAATAAAGATCCTCCATAGTCGTTAGTAACAACAATGATAACACTGTAAAAGTCCAAATATCAAATTTAAAAAGTTACATTCTTCCAGCATATACTGACACTTCTAAACATGCCTCTTCTAAAATGGAAGAGCCGCCGGGGCATAGCTAGAAACAGTTGTACCAAAGCAGAATCGAACTCCAGCAGGATGAACACTAACTCCTGTATTGAGTATTTTATTTATGACTCATAATGTAATCATCTGGGTCCCAGTCCTCCGTGCCCCCAGTCCTCCGTGCCCACAGCCCTTTGTGCCCACAGTCCTCCTTACCCATAGCCCTCCTTGTCCACAGTCATCCTTGTCCACAGTCCTCCTTGCTTGAATGTCCCAGCCTGGCTTCTCTGATATCCTGGGTCTCCACAGCCTCCCAAAGCACACAGCAGCCTCTTGGGACCTCTATTCTGGTACTCTGGCCCAGCCTCCTATTGCCTGGCTTTGGCTGTACTCCTGACCCCCTCAGTCTTGCATCCTCTGTGCCTCCAAAACCAGCACCAACCACACAGATGCCACGGCCAAGCTCTCTCTGCCACTCTCTCAGGATGGAGCCCAGACTCCTTGGACCATGGCTATACCTGTTTTCTCCTGACCCTAGAGAAGAACTCTTTTAGGCAGTTGTGTTCAAGGAGCAGAGAATGCCATTAGCTCAGGCTTTCTTTCCCTTTAAATAAATTGCCGTGTGGTGTTACCCTCAGGCCATCCCTCTCACTGCAGTGTGCTGCAGAGGCTTCTCTTCAGTCCTGCTGAGCTCTTTAATAGTCACAGCTGCCTTCTCAACACCAGGCTGATTGCCTTTATCTCCTTACATTTCCCCTGCCCATCAGATCGGTCCATTAGCTTTAAATTCTGCTCTGCTCAACTTCTCAGGGCACAGTAGAATGAAGGCAGACTGTTGGCTGAAATATCACACACATGGTTGTTAGCCCAGTGCCTGATGGAGTCCTTGGTACCCCCTGAAATGTCAGGAGCTGGGCCTCCATGGTCCATGTTTCTCTCAGCATTCCCTGTTTTTCAGTTTCCAACTAAATGGCCCATTAAGCTCTGCTGCCAACATCCAGTGGCTTTTTCTAGCCCAGAGTTTCAGACTCTTCCACGTTCCAGCTGTGGGTAACATCCCAACAGCTTAAGACCCTCACGGTCAGGTGTATCGCAGCCATAGCCTTAATACACACTTCTGTCTTAGCTTCTTTCTGTTGCTGGGGTAAAATATCCGGATAAGAGCAACTTGCTAGTCAAGATTCTCCTGAGGACCAGAACTGGTAGGATGAATATATACTACAGGGGATTTCATTAGATTTTTTTAAATATACTGTATGGATGGATCTAGGGAGTCTAATAATGTCTGCCTTCACATTGGAGAAGCTGAGAGCCTGGTAGCTGCTCTGTCTGTGACGCTGGATTTCTCAGTAGCCCCAGTCTGCTACCGACGGCCTGGAAGTTTCCTGGAGAACTAACTAGTCTTCATTCCACATTGGAAGGTCAAAGAAGCAGCGTTCTAAGGTCAAAGAAGCAGCGTTCTAATGTCAGCAAATGGCGGTAGCCGCGATAGGGCAGATGGTCTCACAGCAAGATGCAGTTAGGGTAGATGACCCTTTTGGTGATGTGGAGAGCAACACCAAAGCAAGCAGCAAAAGCAGAGCACTCCCCCTCAGGCCGCCTTTTATTTGTCTGCCACTGGATGAAGTCACCCACATTGAGGCTGGGTCTTCCCCCTTCACGTGACCTAGTCAAGGAAGCAAAATCCCATATAGGGGTTCCCACTAACTTGCCTCTTAGTTGATTCTGGTTGACAACATCACAGTTGACAACCAATATCCACCATCACAGAGACCGTCTCCTATGCCGCTGGGCTGTTGCTTGAGGCCAACATTGCATCTGTTTCTAGAATCTACTCTGAGCTTGACAGTGACCCGGCTTCTCTGCCCCAGGCGTGACTTCTCAAATGGCCTTCCCTGTAGGTCTCCCTGCTCCATCCAACGCCTCTGCCTTCCTTCCCTTTTCTAGGCATCCTAGAGTCAGACATAAGGTCAGGGGTGCAAAGAAAGAGACCACCACTCCAACTGAAGTGTCTGGACAGGGCAAACTTAACTCGTGATCAAAAGGGCAAACACCAGAGACAGGAAGTTGCATTAACTCATTTTATTCTAATTCAGGTAGTGATGGTGTCTTTGGCTAGGGTCTAACCTCACAGTTTGATTTGATCCTTTAGTCTGGAAAAAAAAAGGAAAATAAAAGAGGAAGGGAAAGGGTTTACTACTCTAGGCCATCAAATTCTTGGAGACAGCAGTGTTTGTGCAGACAGACGGTTTGCAGGGTTTGAGGACTGAAGCATTTGCGTAAAACTCTGATGGGATGGAAGAGACAAAAAGATTTGAATTCTTTGCCCTGAACACAGGATTTCTAGTATCTGATAGAAACGGCTCCTGTTTGATATCTCTTACACTGGTGCTCAGTTTGATGTGAGGGCCACCCTCCCCAGCTCTGCCAGAGTGTAGAAGGTATGTTGAGACAATTCCATTGTTCGAATATAAAATAGGAGGAGGAGACAAGGAGGTAGAGAGGCCTCCTCTGCTGGCTTAGCGTGATGCCATGGATCGGGTAGATCTCATCCTTTATCTTTTTGCTGGTTTTGGGAGGCAGGGATTCTTGGAGCCAGGACACTGGTCTGAAGCCTGAGAAAAGAGGAATTAAGGGATGGCCATTTTTCTCCTAGCTTTCTTTGCCCTCTGTGTGCCATTTAGTAGTTGCACCCCAACCCCAACAACTGAGTAGTGGGGTAAAAGCACCAGACTTCTTTGCCGAGGTATCTGGAGGCCCCAGCCAGAGAACCTGCCCCGGCTCCTCTATCCATAACATTGAGGCTAGTCCCACATAGCCCTGACTGCTACACAAAGCAGCTGCAATGGCTCACCCAAGCCCTGCTGGATCCCTAGCCCCCATTGCCTGCACCTGCCTACATACAGAGGAGCGTTGGCCAAGTCCTGCCAGAGTTGGGCAGCCGGGATGGAGAGTGAGATGCAGGGTAGACATCACTCTGGGGGAGCTCCTGGCCTCCAGAGGACCCCCTCATGGGGCATGATCAAGAATATTGCTGGCTTCTTTCCATTGGCAGGTGACTGAGGAAGTCCACCGGTTGCTGAAGAGGTGCTCATACCAGTTTGTGTGCAGAGGCAAAGTCAGCGTCAAGGGCAAGGGAGAGATGCTCACGTACTTCCTAGAAGGCAGGACTGAAGGAAACAGTTCCCATGGCAGGACCTTTCGCCTGGAGCGGAGATTGTGTCCTTATGGAAGAGGTGGAGGCCAGCCCAGACGGCCCCCACTGTGTCCTGCAGCTGGACTCCCGATCAGACCGGGGCTTCCCCCAGCCCCCACTAGCCAGCACCTGCCGTCCACAGCAGCAGGGAAGGAAGCCTAGTGGAGCCCATGGGCCACTGGAGATGCACGCAACGCAAGAGTGCTCCAGGGTGACACAAGCCACCGTGGCTTCAACCAAGACCAGCCAGAGGAGCAGAGTTGCCAAGCGACTTGGCTGAAGAAGAAGCATCGTCTAGGTGTGGCCTGAGGCCAATGGGAGATGTGCCCAAGCCACCCACTTGGGGCATACGGAGCCCTGTCTCTTCCTAGTGACCCGGTGATGCCCGGCTAGTGTTGGCATATTGGGACCCTGGGAATATCTTCCACGGTCATAGCAAAAACTATGAAGGTCCAGCTGGCAGAGGAGCCCACCATGACCAAGCCTCAAGTCAACCTGGTTTATGGGTGGCTCCAGCCCTCGCAGGCCCTGGCTTATGGGTAGTTCCAACCCTGGGTAGCAGTTTCGAGTGCCAGACTGAGAAGTTGGCCCCGCTGGGCAGGGCCATGACAGTTGAGCTATTCATACCACAGGCACAGCTTAGAGCTGGTCAGGTCTTGGACAGGACAGTACAGGAAGAATTGAAAAGCCACCTCTTACTGCATGAAGAGTAACGTTGCTGGCTTTCCTCAAGAGTAGGCTTTTGCTAACAGCCAGAGGCAGGTCTTCTGGAATCCTCTGGGTCCCTACAGCCCCACTTCTAGCCTCCTGGCCTGTGCATTCTCTTCCAACCCCACCTGCCTGCTGGATTCTGACTCCCGTGACAGTGGGCCCTCCTCTTCCTGTGCCATCGCTACGCATTCAGAGAAGAGGGGTGTATGCTGACTTGCCTTCTCTGTGGTGTCTTGGACACTGTGAGTGTAACAAGAATCAAGCCTTCGTTTATGCTAAGAGTGGTTGACCACGCTACCCACAAGCACTTTCTTTGCTGGAAGACATCATTTCTCTGGTATAACCATTCCTCTTCTTGGTGGCTTCAGAGTTGGCAGTGTGTGTTCCTGAGTCTTGGGTGTGGTGTTCCTGCTCCAGGGTGAAGGGAAAGAGTGTCCCTGTTGACACGGGGTGGGGTGCGGGGCTCTCCCATCTATGCTTCCCTATGTCTGCAGCTGAGGTGAAAACCGCAAGTGTGGGGGACAGGAGCCTGGAAGAGCTGCTGGGAAGTGACGGGCCAGAAATAGTTGGATGAGATCTGGAGATACGCAGCCTCATTCACAGGAAGGGAGGCAGCCTGCAAACAGAGCAGGTGGGCATAGGCCCTGCCTGCCATGGCTGTGGAGGCCCATCTTCTCATGCTCCCCAAGGGCTTTCCCCCTTCCTAGGGTCCTGTCTTCTTAGACTGAGGCAGAGCAAAGCCCAGCCTGCAGCAGCAGGACGCATATGTGGGGTTCCTGGTCCTCAACTCCGCGATGGCTCAAGTGTGTGACCCTGCCGGGGCCTGGGTAGGTCAGCCAGCTATCCCTGAAAGACTCAGGTCGCGTGTTGGTAGGAAGAAAGTGTCAAGCAAGGGAGAGCTGGAGGCTCCTGCAGAGTCTCCAAGCATCTGAGACTGTAGACTGCACTATAGGCACCCTCGGGTGGGAGTGGGACAGCTGTAAAGACTGCACATTCTCTCCGCGCTGGCGCCTGTGGTTGATGCTAAAGGGAGCCTCTGGCACTGTCTGCAGAGGAGCTCTGACCTGTGCCCACCCTGCTTTGTTGCCCTTCTGATGATGCCAGGCAATGTGGCCATCCTTTGCTGCCTTTCTGACACCCTACTCTGGCTAGACCCCAGAGCGGGGCCCAGACCCACCTCAGCACCCCACTGTAGCCTTCAGGGCTGGCGAGCAGCTCGCTTCACCCTCTTCTGGTGGTCATGTGTGGTTCCGGGGACTTGGGATTTGGGAATAGCATTGCTGGGGGATGCTGACTCCAGTAGGGCAGAGGGCAGGGGAGAGTCTTTGCATTTCTCCCATGGTCCAGAATTCCGTCAGAGATTGCATTTATAGGAAAGTTTCAGACTGTTGAAGGGTGGGGCACTGAGGACAGATTTCCTCTGAGCCAGAACCTGGCTAGGGCAGGCAACTCTCTGTAGCTCCCGCCTCCTGTCTGCTCTCTTGTTTGCCTAACCTTGGTACAAATAGTTTTTTCCTCATGGGCTTCGTTTTCACTAGGACTTTCTTACCTATCTGTCTGTCTGTCTGTCTGTCTTAATCAGATTTGAAGCACTCATCTTAGACAGGAGCACTCAGAGCGAGTGAGTACATGGCCCTGGTTCTGCGGGCTGTGATGCTGTCCCCGGCCTTCTAGGTCATTAAGGATGGCAGAAACCCTCGAGCATGGCCTGGGTTTCCTCAGAGTGGCTTCTGGGCCTCCAGAACTGCTGTCTTTCTGGGCTGTCCAGGTAATGGACAGAGGGGTGGTTCTCAAGGATGCTCACGTGATAGCCCCAGGACCTGTGTGTTTGTTCTGTCAGTCAAGAAGCTTCACAGGGGGTCTTAGGGTAGCTGCTGAAGGGTGAGAAACTATACCTAGACTACACCAGTGGGGTTGGTGCAGACACATGGACTTTCAGAAGTCGACAGAAGGATGGACAGGCTGAGAGAGGCACGGAGCACACACTGAGGAGACTCATGAGGACAGCACAGCTCCAGCCAAGCAAGAAGCCAGGATGTCACTCCCACAACCACAGGGAACTGAAACTGGCCCTGAGTAAGCAGCAGGCAGAGCATCAGACCCATTAGGGAGGAGCCCGGTGACACCCGGATCTGACCTCTAAGACTCTGAGCAGAGCCAGCTGAGGGCAGTAGCACCGCACTCACACGGAGTGTGCAAAACGGAGGTTCCATGGGTGCTTGGGCAAAGCTACCCACAGCGTGATCAGAGCAAGAGAAAGCAACCGTAGAGGGTGACATTGCCTTCTCTGGGCACAGAACCGTTCTGAAGTAGACTACACAGGAGCCCTGGCTGGGTCTCTTCTTCAGGGGCGACATCTCCATCATCAGCAGTTCCAACCCCGCCTACTTCTTGTGAGGTCAGGATCCACACCTGCAGCCATAACGTTCCTCGGGGTTTGGTGATAAACGGCTTTCTTTTTATTTGTGATAAAAATGTATTATATTGCCTTATTTATTTTTAATCTTGTACAATATTCATGTACAAATGTTAGAGCCATTTGGGTAGGATTCTCTCCAAATTATTTATTTTAAGATGCTCTGTAAATAGTGCACCAGTTACAGGTGCTTCCTGTTCACTTGTACCAAAAATGGAAAAGCCTGGCACCCGTGTCAGCCCCTGCTTGTGATGCTTTGGCCCTTGGGAAATGACCCCTTTGTGTTCCCTTCTCAGCCCCAGCATGCCTCCCGTGCCTGACATCGTAGAATAGAACACAGCCCCAGAATGCTTCCAAATGCTTCCACGGGCTGTGCCAACCTGGGACGGTCTATACCTTCAGGTGTGTATCCCCACACATCCAGCAACCCAGTTGTTTCTCAGACTCCAAAGCCACCAGGGCTTCCGGACCCCCTTCTGTCATAGAAGCAATAACCATAACTCTATACCGCAGAGACAAGTTTGGCCCAAGCAGATTGATACTTCGGAATCTACCCGTGCATGTGAGTTTGCTATAAAGGACTGGCATTCCAGATCCCCACCCCTCCCAGAAGGCCCAGCTCTAGCTTCTTGGTTCCTAGAGCCAGGATTGGTACCCCAGATAGCTGAGCAGACTGAGCCAACTGACAGTCCTGGACCCCACGCTATTACTCACTAAGGGATAAAGCTTAGGGCAGCCACATTGTCCTAGATCTGTACCTCTCCTCGAATCATGATGCTTCGTGTGACAGAGCGTAATGGTTTCTTTCAGCTGTGTGAGCATCAAATAGAAATAGTCTGTTTCAGCGGTGTGAGCATCAAAAGGTGGCATTTCCAGGCACTTGTGGAATGCCATTTAAAGAAAACGGTGCCATATTCAAGGCTGCACTTCTCACCCTTATCGGTGCCGTCCTAGTAGGAGAAGAGCTCTGTGTTGGAGCGGGCCATCCCTGAGCGTATAAGAGGAAAGGGCTAGGAAGGGAGCCCTGACTAGCATTGAGGATTCAGGCTGTGGGCTCAGCTGGCAGATGTGATTAGCCTCTAGAGGCTTCACATTTTATTTATGTGCAATCTGAAGGACACTTGTGCCATAACAAGCACCGACAGCAACCCGCAGAGGCTGTGTGAATGGCTGGCTTCAGTGGACTGGGTATGAGGCGAGCAGTTTGGATTGCAGAATTAGGGAAGGTTTCATTTCAGTCTCCCAGCCATCACCATTTTCAACAAGGTAAGTTCTAGGGCTCCCCACGTCACAGGTATCTTATTCCCAGCCCGTACAGAGCTTCAGTCAGTGGGCGTTGGGGGTGGGGGTTACAGAGCAAGTGTGTGCCTTTCACAGCAAGCAAGCAGTGGCAGGGAAAGAACGTTCCTACATATCCTGCTCTCGCATCAGCACCACGAGAGGCTGCAGAAGCGACGCTGATGTATTACTCTCTTAAATGGCTATACATATGTGACCCCCAGAAACAGACTTGCTCATGCTTTTCAGTGGCTCCACTTTTAGTGTGCTCTCCCATGCACACATGTATGTGCATGTGCACACACAGGCATATATAAACATAGCAAAAAACAAACCCTTCTCCTCCCAGGTGTTTGGCTAATAAGGAACAAATCTGGCAGCTTGATTGTTATGTGGGCCCTGAAGCATCTTGCTTCTCCGACTGTCATTGGCTTTGAATGTTTCCATTTTTGGATTTGAACCAATAGTTCCTCATTTTCATTTACAACTGCAGGCTTGGACATAGGTTGATGAGTAAAAATGTGTGTGGGGGGGGGTCAGTGTGTGTGTGTGCTTGCTTTGGGATGTTCACAGCTGGCAGGATGAATATGGATGTGCTTTGGCACTAAGCAACTCCTGGTGCCTATTTGGTCAGCTGGTACCACATGAGACCAGTGTGGATCTAGAGTCACAAGGCCTAGAATCCAGGAACCTTCCTAGGTGCCTGGGAAGGCAGAGGGTGTGAGGCCTGGTCAGAGGATCTCCGCCTGGAGGGTAGGGAGAGAGTAGAACTGAAGGGCATGTTCAGGAAGGCTTCTGCAGCTCACTGGAAGGAGAATTCTGGAGAGTTTGATTTCCACATCTGGATGATCTGTGGTAGAAGAGAGTGAGCGGTCCTTACTGCACTAGTTCAGCAGAGGCTGCTGTACTAGCCTCTTCAGGCCCGGGTGCGTTGAGGCAATCTGCTGCTCCCATTTCTTTTGTTTTGATGGTTTGAGGGTTAGGGCCCATGCAGGATACTGTGCAGAGAGATGCCAGGGGGAGTGTCCATCAGAACTCTGAGGGAGGAGCAAAGTGGTACATGAGCCCTTCCCTCAAGTTATAGGAGCTGACGTGGGGGCCACGTCTACCACCTGTTGTGCCAGCTGCTGCCTGTCTGGCTTGTACAGTGGGAAGAACAAGACTCAGGAGGCTATCTTGGGCTGTGATTCAGAAGTGACTGGGGAAAAAAAAATGTCTTAAAACTCAGAAAATTGACCAGAGTTGTGCCACATCCCTCCTGACAAGTGTTGGGTTGTTTAAAATCTAACGAATGTACTGCGCTTTCTTCAACATGTTACTAGATCTGCTAAGTCCACGGTCAACCACAGGGAGGGCGATCATCCTTGCATCGTCTATTACCATCTTTGGGGGGGCTTTCATATGATGGTAAATTGATCGAACACTCATTACTAGTATTCCCGTCTAGTTTGGCAATTCCTGGATACCTTCTGTGGGCTTTTCATTCATGAACAGCCTGTGGAAGAACTGGTAGGATAATCCCCAACGCATGTTGTTCTGAGGCTGCATGCAGAGAGGGAGGGGCCATGCCTCAATTCCTCATCTGTTTTGGCCAGCCTGTGTGTTTCCTCTTACAGTTAGGTTCTCTGCTAAGCAAACTGAAATCTGTAAGAACTGGGTTGCTGTCAATGTGACTGACCGTACAACAATGCTTACTGTGGTGCAGGGAACCTCGTGGAGGCTGGTCCCTTGTGGGCAAGGCTTGCTTACACCCCATATTTGGAGCATGTGGCCGAGTGCTGTTTGGTTCTGTAGTCCTTGGCTTCTTGTTGCTAAATTAGAGCCATCCGGTTCCTTTCACATCGGTTGCATTCCTCCAAGGTTACAGACACCCAGTAAGAAGTTAGATGCCTCGCTTGAGCGAGCCTTGTTTTGTAGCCCTCGAAATTCTACAACTTTCTGAAACACAAACTGTCATTGTGTTTAGTGAGAATCTTCTCGAAACACTCTTTGCTGCAGAGCCCAAGCCCCTCTCCTGTATTCCTCCTCTGCACAGCCAGCCCGGCTCCAGTTACAGCTCTTACCTTCAACGCTCTACAGCCATTTCTGTCACATGCTTCTGGCAGGCACGGCACTGAGAATGCCTGCCGAGGGATTAAAGGGACGCTTAGAGAAGGTTCCCCAGGCTTGTAAAGAAAGCAGTGAAGGGACTATGATGGATGGCAGAAAGTATGTCAGTCTCCCGAGTACAGGAGCCCCACATGCCTTCTAAGTGTGACCTGCCGATGCCAGGCGACGTCCACGTCAGATACATCAGTTTCCAAACACATCCATGCGCTTTCTGAGAATGAGCGTTTCAGTGGAGATGCTCTCTGAGACTGGTTCCAGAAATCTCTTAGGCAAGGACAGTTGCAGGCCACTCCATCTGCCTGTGGGTGATGCCGCCATCCCCCGTGGCACTGCAGTGGGAAGTGGGCCTGACAGCAGCCAGAACTTGTCTCTTACCTCCCACCAGCAGCCTCCACTCGGCCCCAGGCCCATGAAGCACAAGTCTCAGGAGACTGTTCCCATCCTGTGGGGACCCCAAGGAAGCCCCCGGCATCTCTGGGGGCACAACTGGCCACCAGGAGCACACATGCCTGGGAAGGAGGGGCTTGTTCCGTTGCCTTCACCCCTGTTAAAATCTAGTATATGCAAGCCACTTGCACTTTGGAATTGCATGCCATGAAATTCCTAATTGTATGCACCTTAGTTTCAATTTGACATTATGTCGCATGCCCGAAAGAAGGGATGGCTTGGGCTTGTCTTCAGGTCACCTCTACTGCTTCTTGGGAGCACACAGTGTTCCCCTCTGCCAATCAATTCCACAACCCATGTGACTCCGGCATTTACTGTCCACCCTCTCCCGTCAGCCCGTGCTCCCTTTCCCACCATCCTCTCACGTAAGCTGATTGCTCACCAGTTTGCACAAATGGGAATGTCATTATGATCATATCTTAGCAGTAATCACATCTCGATTTCAAGTATAAGCCCCAAAATCCACTTCTGTATGTCCTTACTTAAAAAAAAAAAAAAAAGGCATGTAAGCACCTGTGTCCTGTGTTTATCAAGAAAGCTTCGAGTCCCTTAGTGGGATGAAGGGTGCATGGACAAAGGGGGCATTTTCTCCCACACAGACTCACCAGATGCGTCCGTAGCTGAGAGAGCGCGATGATTATAGTCACAATAACTCAATATCACTGGGTAACCTCTCACAATAGATTTGTATAATCAATACGGGTCTATTTTTATGTCAACTCTGTAGAGCACCTTCCAGTCTTTTTCAAGATTGTTAAACGGAGACAAGTAATTGAATAATTTGCCCTATTTTTATTTAAAACGTGGATGAACTGAAATGTGAATGTGAATGTACATTTCTTAATCGCAACTTTTCTACTCAGTGTTTGCACTATACTCTCTGGAGTCTTATTTAACAAAAATAAAAGAGAAAAATTGCTTGACTAAACACTGGCCCGTCTCACTGAAAGACAAATGTTTTGGAGCCATTCCTGGCTCCTTTCATGTTCATCCGTGGGCATGGGGGCATTAGTATTCAAAATGTCACATAAAGTCATGTTTGTTTTTACACCACCATCCCTTCACTTTTCTTGCCTGGATGTTAGTTATAGTCTTCTGTGAACCTCAGATATTTCTCTGGTAACATTTAAATGTTAATATGGATTCTCCAGGCTTAGTCTGTCAGTAACATTACATCTTGAATATTTCAGAACTTCCTCTAGCTAAGGACTCAGTTTTTTTTTTCCCATTTTGCTTTCTGTGATGTCTCCATCATCTCTGTACATGTTAGGCAAGCATTCTGCCCCTGAACTACTATATATCTGCTGCTCTCATTGTCCCTTCTTATAAGATAAAAAATAAAATAAAAAATCAACCAATCAAGCAAGCAAGCAAACAAAAACCAATAACCTGAGCACAGCACTAAACTGGTGATAGGTTTCTTTCAAAAGTGAGAAGTGAACCCATCGTGGGTTTCAAGTCCATAGTCATGCTGTCACGGAGGCGTTTCTTTCAACTTGTGTTTCCTTTGTATGCTGTTTTAAAGTTCTCTGGAGTGGTCAAGGAACAAGAGGGAGGGCAGGAGGCTGTGGGTGTGTACTCTGGTGTCAAGGAGGAGAGCAAAAACAACAGCTTAAGGAACTGGCTCACATGACTTGGGGGGCAGGGGCTGGCATGTCTGAAGCCTGTCAGGAAGAGGAGCTTAGTTCCCAGCTTGCATCTGAAGGCAAGAGGTCACCCTCGCTGTGGCAGGTCACCTGCTTTACTCTAAGTCTTTTACAAATGGCAGTCCCATGTTAAAGTACCTTCATGTCAATAACTCCATGGAGTCTGGACAGACAGCTGGAGGGTGGCTTAATCAAAATGACCCAGAATTAACTATCAACATATATGATGCACAGTTTTTCTCTGTTAAAGACTGCCTCTTTAAGGTCAAATAAAATCATGTTTTAGTAAAAGGATTTTATTTTAAGTTATGGAATGACTATTCCAGTAGATTTTAAAAAGGCATATATGGAACTGTGGAAAGTCTGAAATTAAGAAATACACCCTAGCAGAAAATGGTCATTGGTTGAATTACTAACTAAAGGAACACAAATTGAAAGCAATATCATGCTATATCCACTCTTACCAGGATGTTTTTGGAAAGATAACCAATGCATCATTAGTAAATATGCAATGAGATCACACTTGTACATTCTGCACAGAGAGTCTTCACTCCGTAAAATGTCACAGGGACCACAGGGTGTTGACTCTTTTTGTATGGTAAAACCACTCCAGGGTTTTAGCAATGACTAGCTATCCTACCCATCCTAGTGGTTCTCCAACCCCTTCCAGCCTTTCACCGTGCTGTTGATGGCGGTGCATAGCTGGGAATACATTGTGGTAGACAAAATTCTAAGATGTCTCTCCACCAAGATCCCATTGTCATCACTTGTAATGGTATGATGTACCACTCCTAACTGTGCCAAGGGTTTTATGATCTGATACACGGGCCTCCCATGTTTCCTGAGAGCAGAAAACTGTCTTGTTGGCAGCAGAAACTCAAGGGATCTGAAGGATGACAGTCATTGATGTCTTAAAGCAGTGGTTCTCAACCTGAGGGCCATGACCACTTTGACAAGGCCCTAACTCCAAAAATATTTACATTACAATTCATAACAACAGAATTACAGTTATGAAACAGAAACAGAAATCATTTCATTGTTGGGGGGCGGGGGTCACCACAGCATGAGGAACTGCATGAAGGAGTCGCAGCGTTAGGAAGGTTGAGAATCACTGACTCAGGTTAGCTAACTGCATGACTAGGAAGAGGAAGATGGTCAGCATCTCGGATCAGAGCATCTCTCTTCTGACATCCAGCAAGGGAACAAGACCTCAGACCTGTGACTACAGGGGAGCAGATTGAAAGGCCTTGCCCTCCCTTAGCAGGGGCTAAGCTGGCCTTCAGTACTGCGGAACGGTTACATCACTCTCAATGTTCATGTAGGTGGTTTTGAAAATAGGACATCTTTTAAATTTTAGATTCTCTTGGATAGACTTTGAGGACCTAATTCTAAGTTGTTAGACTCTGCCCTGTTATCCCAGCTGCTTGAAAATGGGATCATCAGCCCCAAAGAGCAAGACTGTCTTCACTCCACCACCCACAGAGCTCAGGAAGTTACAATGCTTGTTCCTGTCTGCCTGAGGGTCCCGGCCTCCAAGTCCTGCTTGAAAGCTGCCAGACTAGTGGGCACTCCTGTGGCTGCCACTTCCAGCCAATGCGAATGACAATGGCCATAGCAATAAGCCTATAACCCCAGGGCATGAAAAATGGCCTCTGACTTTTAGAGCCTGGAGCAATAGTCCTTGTTTTGGAGCTGGCTGGTTGCCTGCCGATAACAAAGGCACTTTCCTTTGTCTACCCACAATTCTGAGTACAACAGAAAGACCCCAGCCAGTTATTGGTAACCCAAAGGAACAGAATCAGCCAATTTGAACAAACTTGGGGGTAGATTTCTGTCTAGTCATTGTAGGTAAGAAGTGACCTCAGTCTCACTCTGGGACCCCAGAGTAGGGCCATGGTAAAGGGGCGTGCTTGTGAGTCTCTGTGCTCCAGGTCACTCACTCATCCTGCAGCCGTGGGAAATGGCAATGCAGCAGGAAGCCCTATGTCGATCCATGATTTCTAGTCAGAACAAAGATGTCCCTCCATGAGGTAACTCAAACCCAAGACAGGCATGTCATAGGATTGGAAATTTGTTCCCCAACCATACTCCGTGAGAAATGGGTGCAAGTGTTGAGGCATCGTGTGCGGACAAGTGTAACTGCAAAAGATTAGCTAGAGGGAAAATCCTCTCAGAGACTGGGGACGTTGCAAATTGGAGCTGCCAGGAAGCAGACTATTTCTATTTTTTTCTTGTAAGTTTTAGGACTGCTGTTTTCCAAAACATGGTCTTGCATACTCAAATAATCCATGCTTATCTCTAAGCAACCATGTTGACCACATCACCAAGGACCACGACTCATCAGTTATCACGGGATTGCTAACTTGGGAATCCTGCTGTTTGCACAGCAAGTATCAGAGTCCAAAAGGGACCTTGCATTATCTGAATTGCCCATCAGTATCTTGCTGCAGATGAGTGTAGATGACTTATACTGCCCGGTTGGTGAAGCGTCCTCCAAGATGGCATGTTTTAAATAATTTTTTTACATTTTGTTTTGTTTATATGTGAGAACACAAGCGGGTGTTTTAGGTCAGAGGACAATGTGTAAGAGTCAGTTCTTTCCTACTGTATGGACTCCAGGGACCAAACTCAGGCTGGCAGACGTGGCAGCAAGCACCCTTATCTCACCGAGCCATCTTGCCAGCCCCAAGAATGACATTCTAATGCCTTCAGCTGAGTGTCTGTTAAGTGTAAAGTATACTTCTAACCAGGCAAATACACAGTAATCCAGAAAACTAACATAAATGTCCAGAAATTATCTAAGTCCTTCCTCCAAGGGCTGCAATTCTTTCTTTTAAGAACACATTGCCCCAAGCTGCTTCCCTGAACTCATTCTGTGTTTGAATTTCAGTCTTTGAGAAGTGGGGTTGAAATAGAATTCTCTTGGCTACACATAGGAATTGATTTGCATTCAAGCACAAACTTTGGAAATAGTTCTCATGCAAAGAGTTTATTTTTAATAATGAGGATTGGAAGGACTTTTCTCTGATGTGTTCATCTCCAGCTCTGTGTTACAACACAGTTCTCATCAGGTTTAAAAATAGTATTCTGTCTTATTGGAAAAAATTAATAAAGCCCTGACACTCTCTCAAGACTGATTTTTATAACCAGATAATTACACAAACGAAAATAGAGAATTATTTTAATAGGAAGTGGCTCGAAAATATGCAGATGTTTAAATATAAAATAAATTACAACTCATAGAGAACATCACATGGAATCCAAAGTTCCTGCCACAGCTGCAGCGACTGGCCTCCTCCTGAAAGCAGACAATGCAACCTGTTACCTGTGGCTGCAAGCGGAAGGCCCTGGACCCCACATACACCTTGACCCTACTTTTGTACCATCGCTTTCTCCTTTTAAAACACTTCACTACCGTGTTAACTGTTTATCTGCAGCCACTGTGGACAGGAGAGGCAGGAAGTGGAGTAGACTACACTAGGACTAGAAACACGTCTGTTTTTAGCAAGGAAACAGCAAACATCCAAGAGTAAAATCCATCTCTACGTTTAAGTGGCCGCAGCATATCTACATGAAGAGGCCAGCCTCAGAGTACTTGGAGGCAGTCTGGTGTTAACTGAAGTTCCAAGCATGGCCATCTAGTGTCTCCTCCTTACATCATCTGGAGATACATCCATCAGCTAGGACATGGGGAGAAACTGGGCAAGGGAAGCAACTACCCAGACTACCACAGGGCTGGCTCTATTCCCCTGGCCCTGCACACAGCATGGCCTTGAGTGGCAGCTGCAGCTCTCCAGGTGTCTAGAAATTGGACCTTTCTAACCATGATCCCCTGAAACCCAGTGAGAAATCAATCCCATCCATTTTTGAGGAAACTAAAACCCAAATCCTAAACTGTACTCTTTCCCTGTTTCTTCCATCCTCAGGGGACACACACCAACCCCCTTTCTCCATCTGCATCATCCCTGATCCCACCCAGAAGATGACCTCTGCCTGTATTCTCCACCATTGGGCCTAGCTGAATTCCCAGGGCAAGGTCGGAACTTAAGGCCAACCACACTTACATTTGGCCTAGTATTTCAGAACTCCATGGCCCATTTCCTTCTGGTCCTGCCTCACTGAAGCCTGGGTGAACTCAGCCCAGAGAATCAGGAAGTCCCCAGTGCACAGGGTTTTCCCAGGGCAGAGGGAGCCAGGCCAGCCGCAGCTGGGTCCATATGCTTTGTATTGCACCTGATACGTTTTTGTCAGTTTTCAGATAAGGAAAACAAGGGTCAGAGGAGCAGAGCAATTGTCCCTGAGGTCACAGCCAGGCACTAGAGGGCACAGGTTCAATCAAGCCCAGTGACCTTTTCAAGAACATGAAGCTCATTCTCTTTCAAACTACCAACTCTGTCCCTTGATGTGCCCTTCAACCTACCCCAGGCCTAGGCAATTCTTCCCCACCTTACAGTTTGGGTAACAAGGTCTGTTCCCACCTTACCCACCTGGTCCAGCTGTAGTGTGTGGTGTAGATGATCAAATTATTCCAAGGTAGCAGGGTCCTGGGCTTCTACACTGACTGTGCCAAAGCTAAGTGGCTCCTGGGTTTGGTCAGGAAACTCCATGCTAAGGGTCCCATCTTGGATGGTAAGCTCATGATGGACTGCCTCTTCAATTTCCAGAAGCATCTGGGCCTCCCATTGCTGCAAGCGTTGCATCTGTGTAGAACACAGACAACAATCCACTGTCATTATTGGTAATCAACATGAACAATGCACTTGAGGAAAATAAGTACCAGCAGGCCCAGGACCCTCATCCAGGTCTAAGACAGCAGCCAAGCCCACAGGGCTCTCCCTCCCTGTCTTCTGTGTGTTCCCCCAAGTATAGATCCCAGACCTAGGCTTTCAGCCTCAGAGGAGGTCAGCACCTGAAATTTATCAGAGTGATAGTCTAAAATCTGCAGACGGTGGGTAGAAGGCAGGGCCCTTGAAAGTGGCTGGCTATATTGATATTGCTACCCTAGAGGTTAGCATCCTTAGGAGGGATACAGGGGAGAAAAGAGTTGGAAGAAAATTCCTCCAGAGCTTCCCTATACAGCCCTCTCATAATACTGCAGGCTTCCAGTGGTCAGTTAACAGAGGTTTGGAAGTGGGATCTGTGGACAGGAGCTGGAAACTGGCAGATAGCATGTGCTTGCTGAGATGGTCTCCCTGATGTAGCCTCCTGCCTCTGACTTGCACTGTTGTGGTTACAGCGTCCCCCACATCTGGCCTGAAGATACATGTTCTTAATGCTCCATCTGCTTTGGCCTCTGCTCTTGCCAGGATGCTTCCTGGTGGTCACTTAATCACTTAAAGACTGGTCCTGGCATCCAGAGAGGCAGAAGCACCTCAGAGCAAGGGTTAGGTGTGGCTTGTGCTCCTACTGTGTGAGACTGAGCCATCTCTGTCCCAGTACTGTGGCAAGGGAAGGGATTGAGGCATCTCAGCCAGGCCCAGAGATCTCAGTACCCTCCCAGGCAGTAACAGCATCCTGCTGTGTTCTAGGCACAGATCAAAGTGCAGTAAAGACAATTCCTGTCAACAGCTTCTCTACTGAACCCTCAGTACTGGAGACAGACACTCATAGCACCTAGATGCCCATGAGTTAGAGACCTGGGACAAAGAACAGCCAGAGCCTGCTCTGGGGACTAGGTTTGCAGAGACCAGCGCTAGGAAGTCATGGTGTCCTCAGGCAAAGCCTCCCTTCTGAACAAAAAGCTGTCTTGATGTATCTGAGCATCAGGTGTCAGAAAGCTGGAAGGCCTTGTGACCTCATGTGCAGAGGTGGGTACACTGTGCACAGCCCCATGCTTGGGGCCAGAGGAACCTGAGTGATGGAGGGTAAATGCCCCCTCCATACCACAGCTGGGAATCATACAGGGACCTAGAGTCCCTAGGGACAGGGCTGGGGTGGGAGGCAGGAGACCTACTGCAGCTGCCCGCTTCTTTAGGTCTCGTCTTCTATGCCAGGGGCTGTCTGAAATTCCAGGCATCCTCGGGTTCTTTGGCCAGCTCATGTCCCACAGGGCCTCTGTCTTCTGACACTCCTTGTTCAACGAGGCTGACATGCGTGGTTCTTCCTCTGCAGCTAAAGGGTCTGGATGGGGCTCCGCCTGCTCACTGGAATTCTCCAGTTCCTTGAGAGTCGAAAGCCTCTTTTTTCTGAAGGTGGCTGTGGGACTGGACCCTGCCAGCTGGGACCCAAGATCCTCGTCAGAGTCTTCAGATGTCAAGGACCAGTGGTGTTGGAAGTTCTTCCCTGGTGGCCTTGGGCTCCAGCCCATAGCCACCTGAGGAGTGTGGCGCATGACAGGGTTCTTCCAGCCTGGCCTGTTTGTTGCTAGATAGGAGCTTAACTCCGGAACCTATAGACAGAGAACACAATATGGCTCCTAGACAGTTGCAGCATGCTTCGTGAAGACATAGTACACTCTTATCCAAGCACAACCGCCCAGGGTCACCTATCCGGTGGCCACAGAGAAGGAAACATTAAACACCAAGGGTCTGCGCCCGTGGCTGGAGATCAAACCGTGATGGGACATTCCCCCTTCTCCTGCCCCTGTCCATGGATAGTTGATGAGAGCGCAGTGAGCCGCAGCTGGAGATGGGTCTCAAGGACAGAACTGAAACACGGAGAAATGTCCCAGGAAACTGCCTTCCCGCGGGGAAAACAGCCAAATGTTACCAGTGAAACACGGAGAAATGTCCCAGGAAACTGCCTTCCCGCGGGGAGAACAGCCAAATGTTACCCGTGAAACATTTAACAGACTCGGGACATAGGAAGAATTAAAAAGACAATATGTTTTGGCAAACGATGAAGCCAGCTGGGCAGGTGGCTCTAGTTCGGAGGTTCTCCACCATTTTGAATCAAATGACCCCTTCACAGCAGCCCAAGACTGTCAGGAAACACAGATGTTTAGAGTACGAGTCATAACCGTAGCAAAATTACAGTTAGAATGTAGCAACAGAAAAATAATCGTCTGGTTGGGGGGTCACCACAACATGAGGAACTGTGTTGAAGGGTCACAGCATTAGGAGGACCGAGATCCACTGCCGTAGCTGATGGGACATCTTGACAACATTTCTCCTCCAAGATAAAGCCTAAATTAAACCAACAATGTTCCCGCATGCATACCCCTTGTCTTAGACACCAATCATGGATGCAAAAAGCCTTCATATCCGCAGGCCCTGCATCAGTGGATTTAATTGAGTACAGTTGGAAAATGCTCAAGAAAAAAAAACTGATTTCGGCAATTTTCAAAGTAGCAGCAGCATGCACGAGAACATACGGGGTTTTGCCCATGGTTATTCCAAACACAACACAGCTCAGCGGTAAATTCCACACTGTTTGAATCGTGCTATGTTATGAGAAAGCAAGGTGTGCCTAGGTTCTGCACAGACACTGTCGTGTTTGATGTAAGGAACCTGAACGTCAGTGGATGCTGGAATCTGAGGAGGGTCCTGGAACTGATGACCTGGAATTAAACACATCTGTGTTCACCCACCACAGGGCGAGCCTCCGTCCCGTGCCAACCCCGTGAAATCCCCGGGCAGCAACTCGTGCTCTGTTGGTTGGTGTTTTCTGTATTTCTTAGGGCTTTAGACAAATTCTAGCAGGTAGCACAACCGTGCACTGACTGAGGTCACTTTGAGAGTTGTGCCCATTGTCCTTCTTGCTATACTCCACCTTTATGAAGCAAGGAGGGGAACAGTGTCCACTGCAGGTCGTGACAGCCCCAAACTGTTAAGGAAGCCATTGCTACTCGGGGGTAGGGGGACTGAAATATTCCAAAAGTAAATGTTATAATTTTATATATATAATTTTATTTTGTTTTTCTTTTCCAAGACAGGGTTTCTCTGTGTAGCCCTGACTGTCCTGGAACTCACTCTGTAGATCAGGCTGGCATCAAACTCAGAGATCTACCTGCCTTTGCCTCCTGAGTGCTGGGATTAAAGGTGTGTGCCACCACTATCCTGCAGTTTTGTTTTATATATATATAAAGTTAGAAAATAACTTAGGAACCCAGATTCTCTACTACATAGAGGTCAGGGATGTTCTTGAGTCTTCCACATCAGGCTGGGAAAACTCTGGTCTGACCCTAGCTACGAAGAACTAGCAAGAAGTCCAGAGCTGCCTGCCTAAGGTGTGTGGTACCCAGGCTCCAGGCCAGGCCACTGGGCCATGACCCATCTAACACACAGCACATCCAGGGTCTAAGACAGTTTCTCACAGGGTAGGAACTCATTGGGTCCTAACCCGTAGGCAGCCCAAGAGCAATGCAGGACTACGTAAGCCATTCTGCTGGACTTCTCCCCGACACATCACGCGTTACTCCTTCCTCCTCCCAGATACACCCCTCTCTATACCTACCTGTGCTGTGTCCAACTCCATCCCATCTTCCCTCTGAAAAGGGTGTCCTTGGGCAGTTACAGCGCCTGGCCCTCTGAACAAGAGCGCTTGGAAGTATGCCCGGCAGGAGTTCCCCCTCAGGCCTGGACAGGTGCCAGCGTGAACACCTAATGAGCACGTGGCAGCGCAGGATTGGGGGCGGGGCGTGTTCACCACCTGAGGGTGTTCACCTGGGTGGTTTCTGCCCGTGTGCAGTTTAGAATGCTGCCGTATTCTCGCAACACAAAGGACTGTCCAGTCACCTAATCAAAGTTACTTCTGCATTCAGACACACTGAGCGCCACTGCCACTGTCTGTCTTTCTGTCTTTCTCTTTCTTTCTTTCTTTCTTTCTTTTTTTTTTTTTTTAGTTTTTCGAGACAGGGTTTCTCTGTGGTTTTGGAGCCTATCCTGGAACTAGCTCTTGTAGACCAGGCTGGTCTCGAACTCACAGAGATCCACCTGCCTCTGCCTCCCGAGTGCTGGGATTAAAGGCGTGCGCCACCACCACCCGGCCTTTCTTTCTTTCTTTCTTTCTTTCTTTCTTTCCTTCCTTCCTCCCTCCCTCCCTCCCTTCCTTCCTTCCTTCCTTCCTTCGTTTTTTCTTCCTTTCCCTTCCTTCCTTCCTTTTTCCTTTCTTTCTTTCTTTCGTTCTTTCTTTTTTTGGTTTTTCGAAACAGGGTTTCTCTGTAGCTTTGGAGCCTGTCCTAGACCAAGTTGGCCTCCATCTCACAGAGAGTCCACCTGCTTCTTCCTCCCGAGTGCTGGGATTAAAGGCGAGCACCACTACCCACCGCTGGTCCTGGAAAGCGCTAGAATCTTAAGCAGGTCTGTGGCACAGGACTCCTCCCTTCAGTGGCTCTCAGACTTGAGTTGCTAGAGCCCAGAGCACTGGGCCAGCCAAATCCCTGGTTAAATTGATGATCAGCCTGGCTCTCATAATCAGGTTTCTAAAGACTCCCAGAAGGTAACAGTGGGTGGAGCCAGGAGGCAACTGGGTCAATCCCAGCCTGCACCATCACTGAGCTCCCAAAGGGATTATAACATCCTAGAGAGGGACTTTTCATGAAAGTAAAACGTGGGTCTTCAAAACGGACAGGCACGCTAGTAAGTCTCAGCACAGTGGAGCTAGAAGGGGACAGAAATAGAAGGTGGTTTTCATGTTTCCCAGACTCACTTTGAACTCTAAGATCAACTCACCCTTTAGTCCCCAAGGAGCTAAGACAACAGCTGTCACTGGGCCTAACCAACTATTTTCAGTTTACCTCCTGCCTCCCAGTACCCTAGATATTACTTTTTTGATTAAGCTATCTTTTTTATTGTTTAGGGTTTTTTGTTTGTTTGTTTGTTTTTTGAAACAGTATCTCACTATGTAGCCTTGGCTAGTCTGGAACTCTCTGGTGCTGAGATCAAAGACTGGGCTTGAATCTCTTTTGGAATATGTGATTAGATATCTACTTTTTATATGGTAGCACATTATATGTCTATTCTATAACCTTTCTCAACTGACAAATAAGGATCTTGTCTATAGTGTACACGTTTATCTATATGTGCATATGTACAGGAACAAATATGTACCTGCCCACATGTTCACACACAAATGACTATAAAGGATTCCTTCTTTAGATGTATGCTAATTTTTTCCATCTGTGTCTTTTCCGGATGTGCATGCCATCTACTTGGGCACTTAAAAAATAACACCCCACAGAACTAAGAGGCAGCTCTGCCCGTGGCACATTCCAGCAAGTAGGATTGCTGGTTCCAAGTCAGGCATACTTTGAGACATACAGCACATTAATAACAACTTGTACCCCCAGAGGGCTACACCTCCAGGCCCCACCAGCAAGATAGCGCTCTCCAGCACCACACAGTGCTGACACCTGTGGCAGATTAGCCTGCTGTGTTCTATACAGGGCAGGTAAGCCCCCCTAGTCTCTACCATCTCCCATCTTACCATCTTGCTCTCTGGAGTCCTAGGAAGACCCGTCTTGAGGGATCTTGGTCTCTCTTGTCATAGCGGGCAGTCCCCAAGTGAGCCTGGTTGGTGGGTGTGTGCACCACAGCCTCAGCTCTGTGCCTGCCCACGGGCCAGGTGCTGAGTCCATGTGATGTTCCACAGCTGTCTGCATCCATAGGGGTTTCAAGGCTGGAAAAACTCTCGTGGCCCCCTTGTTTCCCCGAGGGAGGAGATATCCACAGAAACACTCTACGTCTTAGTGGTCTTAGTGACAAAGCTCAGAGAAGCAGTGATGGCCCAGCACACACCCAGAATCGCGTGGGCGGAAAGCACATGCCAACCTCAGAACTTGGTGCTGAGTTCCCTACCGTTTCAGCAGCATACCCCACTCTCTGACCCTTTCCCTCATTAAGAGGCAGAAGAACTGCTTTGCTCTGGAGAGTGTTGGGTTGGGAGACAGATTGTATCTAAGAACAACCCAGCATGGATAAATCCCCTGGATGGTCACTAGCCTCCGTTTTCACAGTCACATCTGGTCTTTATGTAAACAATGTTTTGAAATTGCCTAAAGGTGCTCTTCTGGGTTGTTCCCATAAAGGGGTTTTTAACTTTCTGACTGCCCTCTTTAGGAGAGTGGGAGAAACATAGTAGAACCACCCTTCTGAGAGGAAAAAAGAAGGGAGGGAAGGAGAAAAAAAGGAAGAGAAAGAAGGAGGGAGAGAGGAAGAAAGGAAGGAAAGGAAGGAGAGAAGGAAGAGAGAGAGGGAG